AAAAAAAAAAAGGTCAAGGAGAGGACGGACAGGTGGGTGGCCCATTCACCATGGAGGAACTGCTAACCGCTGCTAAGCGTTTGCCGTCGGAGAAGGCAGCGGGCCCAGATGGCATCCCGAACGAGCTGCTGAAGGTGGTCGTGGGCCAAATTTCCAGGATGGTCCTGGAGGTCTTTAATTAGTGTAGGGATCTTCTCGCGGGAGTGGAAGAAGGCGAAGCTGGTGCTCCTCCACAAAGGGGCCTGGAAACCACACGATAACCCATCAAGCTACAGGCCACTGAGTTTGCTCGGCACTACGGCGAAACTATTCGAGAGGATGTTACTCCAGCGGCTGAATGAGCATCTCGACAGCGTTCCGAACGGCAGGTCAGAGAACCAATTTGGCTTCCGGGCCGGTCGTTCGACAGAGGATGCGATTAGGAGTTAACCGGGAGGATCACTGGACCATGTCATTGTCCTGGCTCATATCCTATATGTTTTTTGTTTCTTTAATACATAAACTGTTTTGCTCTTCAGAACGGCTAAGGCCATTAGGAATGGTGCGGTCCTCAGATGCCGCGTCGCGGAAGATCACGGAGCTGAAGGAGCAACAGACGAGGTTTCAGATCAAGACGGAGCAGTCGGCCCAGCTCGAAGAGATCAGGAGGGTTGTCGTGAGCAAGGATCCGGCGACCGGAAACGAGGTCGAAGACCTGGGTAGAAGCGGTGACATTATCCGGGCTATCTCCTCCATCGGCGAGGAGCTGAAGGCGCAGCGGGTAGCAATCTCTCTGCTAAAGGCTCGTGCTCAAAAACCAACAGGGCAAGTCAAGGCGGCGGCGGGACCGGCATCGGCAGAAAATGACTATGCTGGCGTTCAAGCCGAGGAGACGGCAGGTGGTTCCTGGACGGACGTCGTCCGAAGAAACAGGCCCAGAGACCGTGCGGGAAAAGCGACGGCGACAGCAGGCCCGGCAGTGGCCCCAAGGCGGGCATACCGGGCCGCAGCCGTCATGGTTAAGGTTAGCCGGGAAGAGTACCCGGAACTGGCCAAAAAGATTCGGTCCGGCGTCAGACAGGAGGTGATCGGAGACCACATCATTGGCATGAGGCAGTGCAGGACGGGTTGCTTGCTGATAGAGGTGCGGGGAGATACCGCCCAGGTCGAGACGGTCAGGGCGGAAGTCGCTAGGTCAGCGGGCGAGGAGGTCCCTGTAAGATCACTGAAGACCATGGCGATGGTGGAGGTTAGTGACTTGGACCAGTGGACCACGAAGAAGGAGGAGGTCGCTAACGTGCTCTGCGATGCCACCGGCACCGAACCCGAGGCGATCAACGTGGTGAGCATGCGGCAGCAGTTCGGTGGGGCCCAGGCCGCCTTTATCCGGGTCGCAAAAGAGGTCGCTGGCAAGCTGGTGGAAGAGTCAGGGTCGGCCTGGTGAGCTGTAGGGTCCGTATCCGTGAGGACAGGACGCGATGCTTCCAGTGCCTCGCTTTCGGGCATTTGTCGAGCGGTTGCACCGGGCCGGACAGGGCCTCTGCCTGTTTGCACTGCGGCAGGGAGGGCCACCGCGCGGCTGCGTGTGAAGCCACCACCGATGAGAGGAGCGCCTTCCTCAGGATCCTGCAGCGGCGGCGATCGGGACCGAGCGAGGCTGAGGGTACGGGTCCAAATCCCTAATGGTGCGCGTCCTCCAGATCAACGTGGACGGAGGTAGGGCGGCCCATGACCTGATGGAAGCATCGGCCGTCGCGCTCAAGGCGGACATTCTGATCGTCGGCGAGCCGTACAGAAACAAACCGGAGGAGGAGGGCTAGTTCCGCGATTCCAGCGGCAGGGCGGCGGTCGTGATCGCCAACCCACAACTCGCTCTCACCGAATCGGACCCGGGTGTCGAGGACGGCTTTCGCTGGGTCACGTGCGGGGGTCACCGGTACTACGCGTGTTACTGGTCACCCAACACGGACTTTGCCGGGTTTGAGGACTTCCTGCTCAGACTGGAGAGCAGCGTCAGGAGTTCGGGAGTCCCAGTCGTCGTCGCGGGCGATTTTAACGCAAAATCACCGGAGTGGGGTGACAGTCGCGAGGGCGCTAAAGGCCGCGCCCTCGTCGATTGGGCGGCCAGCCTCGACCTCGCGGTGTGCAACCGAGGCGGCAGGCCGACGTTCACTCGAGCGCATGGGACCGGCGTCTCATCGTCCTGCATCGACGTGTCTTTCGTGTCCCGGTCGTTAAACCCCGCGGCCGACTGGAGGGTGTTGGACGATTACACCGGGTCCCTGCACCACTACATAGTGTTCGACGTGGCCGACAGACCCGCCGTATGCGCGCTTCCCCCGGAGAGGAGATGGTCCTGGCGGAAGCTGTACCCGCAGAAGCTCCAGGAGGCCATCGACTCTGTGCGTGTCCCGGAAACGTTCGTCGATGCGGCCTCCGGCGCGGAGGTGGTTGGCGTCATTCTTAATGACGTGTGCGCGGCAAGTATGCCGTCAGGCCGGTATAGGGGAGGGAAAAGGCCGGTCTTTTGGTGGACTCCACGGATCGCGGAGCTCAGGAAATCCTGCCTACAAGCCAGGAGGAGGCTCACCAGACGCCGGTCAAGGGCCTCGCCGGAAGAGGCAGAAGCCGCGAGGGACGAGTTCAGGGCCCACCAGTCCGCGCTGAGGAAAGCGATCCGGAGCAGCAAGGAGTGCTGGAAGGGGCTGTGCCGACAGGTCGACAACGACCCGTGAGGCCTCCCGTACAAGCTCATCAACAAGAAGTTGCACGGCAGGCGGGCGATCCCCGGGAGAATGGAGAATATAGTCGGTACGCTATTCTCGACGGTCCCCACTCCAGCCAACTGGCCTGCTCTGGAGGGCACCATGGAGTCCCGGAGATCACCTGCGCGGAGGTAGCCAGTGTCGGGGCGTGCCTACCGAGGGGCAAGGCTCCGGGCCCGGACGGCGTGCCGGATATAGTCGTCGGGGCGTTAGCGCGTCGCCGGCCAGATATACTCTGGGGGCTGTTCAACGCATGCCTACAGGAAAGCGAGTTCCCCGAGTGGGGGAAACTAGCAAAGCTGGTGCTTCTCCGGAAGGGCGACAAGCCTCTCGACAGTCCGTCGGCGTACCGGCCGATCTGCCTGCTGGACTCGGTGGGCAAGTTTTTTGAGCGGCTGATAAAAAGAAGGATCGAAGAAGTTATCGAGGACGGCGGAGGTTTCAACGACCGACACCACCTCTATATAAACGGGAGCTCTGCGCGGTTGTCGCCCTGGATGTAAAGAACGCTTTCAATTCGGCGAGATAGGATATGATCGACGGGGCATTCAGGAGGAAGAACACCCCGGTCTACGTCGCGAAGATCGTCCGGAGCTACTTGAGCGGCAGGACCCTGCGGTCCAACGGCGTCACGACGACCCTTAGGTGCGGCGTCCTGCAGGGTTCGGTCCTGGGCTCGCTCCTGTGGAATATTTTATACGACGATCTTCTCGAAGTAGACCCCGGCGGGAACGTAGCGGGAGTGTCGTCAGTGTCGCTCGTGGCGTTCGCCGACGATCTGGCCGTCGTGGCCACCGGGCACGACACACGAACGCTGGAGGACGTCGGCAACCACGCCCTCACCGGGGTTGCAGAGTGGATGAAGGAAAACGGGCTGGCGCTTTCGACGGAGAAATCCGAGGCTGTGATCTTAACATCTAAGAGGGGTTATGCCCCGCCCGCCTTTGCGATCGACGGGGTGCCTATTCGCACGGAGGAGGCGATAAAGTACCTCGGCGTCCAGCTCCACAAGACCTTGGGGTTCAAGGCCCATCTACAAGCGGCTGCGGCGAGGGCGCAAAAGACGGCGATGGCGCTATGGCAAATCATGCCTAACGTCGGGGGCGCTCAGCAGAGGAAACGGAGGCTCCTGGTGTCGGTGGTGGACAGCGTTGCCCTGTACGCGCCTCCCGTCTGGGCTGGGGCCATGGTGTTCGAATTAAACATCGCGGTAATCCAACGGCCCCAGAGGACGGTCGCCCTGAGGGTGGCAATGGCGTATAGGACGGTGTCCACGCCGGCCGTACTCGTCATCGTGGACATGATCCCCGTTCACCTGTTGGCGGAGGAGAGGTAGCGGCGGCACGCAAGGCGCACGGAGCCGAGAAGCGAGACAAGGGACGCAGAGGACCGGGAGGAAGTGTTCAGGAGGTGGCAGGAGGCGTGGCGGCAAACGGGGAAGGGCCAGTGGACCAGGAGGGTGATCGGCGACGTCCGGCAGTGGATCTGCAGAGGCTGGGGTCAGGTGGACTTCCACCTCACGCAGATGCTTTCGAGGCACGGGTGTTTCGGCCAATACTTGTCCAGGATTGGTAAAGCACCGGATGCCAGTTGTGCGGACTGCCAGGCCGCTGTTGACGATGCTGAGCACGCATTCTTCCGTTCCGTTGTGGAGAGGAGGAAGCTGGAGATCGACATCGGTGGCGACCTCGCTCCGGAGACGGTGGTGGGAGCAATGCTGTAGTCCAAAAGGTCGAGGGAAGCGGTAAGGAGGTTCTTAAATCATATCATGGTAGCAAGGGAGGACGAGCGCAGGCGGCAGATCGAAGGATTGTTGTAGCGCCATCCAGCCAAAACCCTTTTTTGTATTATCATTTCATTTTTATTTTTTGTTTTTTTTTTTCGTCTATTGTAACTACTTGTTGTTAGCCTGCCCCACCGTAGGGGTAAACAGGCCTTTTCCTAGTGACGTGGCGTAGCCACATTTATTTGTATTTAAATTGTTAATAAACGATAGCGGCCAGTGCACCCAAAGTAATGCCTAAGTGTACTGGAGTATTGCTGATGGAAAAAAAAAAAAAAAAAAAAGGAAAGGTTAGGTAAAGCCGAGCATCTCGGCCGTCATCGTAGAAATGAAAACGAGCAGCTGCGGTCCGCCGTATTTATAGTGCGCTGTTGGCAGCGATCGATTAACGGTGGCGATTACGAAACCGCGTGTGCTTTTTCTAACAAATGCATATGCTCCTCTTTAATGGAGATTGTATTTGACAAATAATCAATTTTTCTTTTTCTTGTATTTATTTCTTCCAATTCTAGTTTTCCCGCAGATGTTACGTATACGAGAGAGGGTCTATTTGTTTTAATGTATACGGAAATAGTTTATTGTTTATGTTGGACCTTAGAATCTGGGGAATAACATTGTTAGTTTTGATCAAACCAGTGTCCTCGATATTTACGTCCTTCGAGATAGTGGAGAAACTAGTCCCGGATCTAGAAAAAAACGTTTCACCCGCTTTGATAAAACATTTTTGTGTAATCGTAATATTCTCTTTGTTTGCTTCGTCCTCCAGGAGTTCTATACAGTTTATATAATAGGTAAGCAGTTAAAACTATACACAGATAAAGTATATTTTATAATCTTCTCTCCCTGTTGTCGATTATCGGAACATTGAATTTGTATTCCAGTCAAGTTTTTTATATTCGAATTGCCCCATATTTATAAGTATTACAATACTTAAATAAACACAACGCAACAACTATTCTGTATGAAGTATTTCCCAATGTGTGCCGTTTTATTCAGTGTCGATTGCTAAAACGTGGACGAAATTGACAAACCTAACTTGACCGACGGAGTTGTGACAATAGCCATGAGAGAGACGTCTGAGCATCTCGGCCGTCATCGTAGAAATGAAAGCGAGCAGCTGCGGTCCGCCGTATTTATAGTGCGCTGTCGGCGGCGATCGATTAACGGTGGCGATTACGAAACGACTGCAACGCGCTTCAACGTTTCGTTTTCCTATGCGGCCCTCACACGATCAATATTACTGACGGTATTTTGGATGCGGACAGTATTATTGATCGTGCAACGTGAGTTCTGATGTACTGTCAGTATAGATAAACGATACTGATGAAAAATTTGGATATCCAGTCGTCAGTATTTATTTATTGATAAAGATATTGACCGTGTGTGGTAGATAATGGTAGTTCTTCAGAACATTTTTCGCAGCTAATGGGTGACGGGAGCCGAAATACAGGTACGAGTGATTCGAGTACAGAAAAACAAATCCTGTGTGATTTTATAGCTGAATAAAAATAGTTGCCAGAATTATGGGATGTGCGTAATAAGAAGTGCACTAAACGGGATTAAAAAAATGCTGCTTATGAACAACTGCCTACCTACTATTTATAAGGGTTTAAAATTTGATGCTACTAAGTTGATGAAGTAAAAAAAAAAAAAGGCACCTTAAAAAGCAAGGCTGGGCATTAACAAGTTAAAAGTTAAAATTAAGTTAAAACGTTAAGTTAATTTTAATTAAGTTTATTAACTCGTTACTTTTTTGACAAATTAACTTTAACTTAATAAGTTACTTTAATTTTAAGATTAACCTGTTAACTTAAGTTAACGTAAGTTAATTTTATTCAAAAGTATCTAAATTAAGTTAATTTTCGTCCAAAGAATAATACAAATTATTGAATGAGGTTTTTAATATACTTATAATTTACTATTTTAATATGAATTTTCGGTAAACGAAAATATTATGAAAAATAACTTTAATAGTCATAGTATGGGCTATATTATATCTACCTACACATTTATCATTATTAATTGTATTACTAATAATTTCAAAGGGGTAGGTTTTAAAGGTTATCGCTTTGGGGTTCCCTAAAGTGTATGTCAAATGTTATTGTGCACGTTTTTTCTTTATTAAATAAATGCAATAATTGGCTAGTCCGAATTTGGTTCCATGATAATTACCCCGGCATCATAACAAGTCACAATACAGATAAAATATTTAATTTAATAAATAATTATTTTGACATGTTTTTGGTGAAGCCTATAATATAGACAACCAATAACTAATCATGTGTCAACCTTCGTAATATAAATTTATTACCCATTCATTATTTTTGCTTGGAATTTAATTAAATTTATATATAATGTATATTTCCCTTAAACTTTTACAGATAAGGGTGAAGAGCTTTGTATTAGCTCATTATATTTCTGTGTTCTACGATGCTATAAAAAGCCCGATTTCTATCCCGATACGAAATACAAATTTTGACTACACTGAATATAACTCCGATAACAAATCTGATGGAGATAATGAAGAAAAATGTTCCCATATTACAGCTGTTGATAAGTACTGTGTGGTATGTGTTTTTAATTTTTTAGTGAAGTATAATTTATACAGCAACGCTTATCCTGGNTAGATAAAATAATATTTAAGGAGCACCGTATCACAAGACTTTTTGGAAAGTTTTATGCCCATGTCTATTGAGAAAGAATTATTGAACATAATTGACTTAATAAAAGTGCTCAAATTTAATATTGGTGGCCGTATCAATCACACAATGTTTTGGAAGAGTCTAACACCTCATCCTACCAAACCAACCGTCTTGTAAATTTATAATCATTAGTCTTACTATATATTTATTGGTCTAATAAAAATTAATTTAAATAATAGAATAAAACGCATCATAATTATTTGATAATTCATTGTCTTTAGTTGAATAACAAAACGCTATATTTGAAAGCTTTTACAAAAGGTTTTGTACTTTGTGTTGAAAGCAAACAGGAAGTTGCACCGCCACCATGATCACATTGAGATGAATGAAAATGAGACTTAATGTACTTACTTAATTTCTATTGGATCCAGGGAGCCCCAATCCATACTTATGGCACGCCTGCTCCAAAGGTTGCAGAGAGCGTTTTGAGAGCATGGGAGTTCAACACAAATCAAAACAAAACAAGAAATACGCGTTTCCCATTGGAAGAATTTAAAAAAACCACGATCTTCCGTATTTGTTTCAATTCAAGGTGTGGGATGGGGTTGGCTGGTATTTGATTACATCCAAGGATATGCATGAAACCCAAAGTTAAAGATCAAATTAATTTTAAATTGTTTTTTTATGTTAAACATCGAGGAATGTACCTCCTATTGGATTTACTACAAATGCTAATTTTTGTGTTTGTCAGTAACTTTACTACCAGAAATCTAGCTCCAATCAAATAATAACATGATGCCTTTTTGAATAATTTTGGATTTTTAGTTTTGGTGTACTTGGGGGTTATTATTTTTCTTTCCGAGTGCTTTTAATCAAAATTAAAAATAACCAGAACAATCATTAGGATAAAAGGATATGTACATACGGCAATATCGATTTCATTACTTTTTATTTTTCAATTTTTTTTTCTAGCAAATGTTATATTCAAAAATTAATACATTTGTTGCATTTTCTGAAATCAATAATTGTCTGGTTGTGTCAGAAGATCAGTAATCAATTTTTTGTTAAGTTTTTTAAACAACAATCTTGGAAAAACAGTAAAGTTTAACGATTCATTATTTTTAATTTTCAGAAAATACGTATATTAGTCTTTATTCAGTGGCGTATTGTACGGGGGGGAGAGCAATAGGTATTTCGTCTTCTTTCCCACTTGAAATTTGTAATTGGTGATTTTTAATCACGGCTTTAGAATAAAGGTAATAAAATTTTAGAGTATTTATACCAGTTATAATTATAATTTCTTGGCTATTTAAATTAGCGTTATCAAAAAGTGTAGTGATAGTATACAAATGCCTTGATAATAATATTATATATAAAATAATAATTATTCTTATGTTTTTATATTAATTGAATTATTTGTTTTTGTATGCAGGACTTATTTGTTATTTTGGAAATGACATTTGGGAACATGACTACTATTTGCAGTACAGAAATGTACCTTGCTACCGAAATCTCGCCGCCACTGACGGTGTTAGGAAAAGTGCAATATTCGAGAACTTAGGATTTTGAATATTTTTACCTACGCGAATTTACGTTATTGAATCCAGATTATAATACAGTTGAAAAAAAAATAATATGGGAAAGGAAATCACTTAAACTATATTATATTTTTATCTATGTTAAAAAAAATAAAAAATGTTAAGATTTACGTGTTTCTGCCATTAATTTTTTTTATTTACCGGTAGAAGGAAAGTCGTGTGAACTTCAAAACTAACTGTGCTAAGTACTTGCTAAATGTTTGAATATTTTTTTGGATTTTCTATTGGTGGGGGGGAGTAGCCAAACCAAGAGATTACAAGAGACCTTTATTGTGGCATAGATTTTTCCACAAAATCTATTTTGATTCTAGATGGTACTACCTACTTCAATGCGGTTCAACGCGTACGCTTTTTAATTTGCGATTTGTTTTATTTCATTTTACCAAAGTATAAATATAGTATAAAATGTACGACTACGATAACAATTATATATTATTTGGAAATTAAGATAATAAGTGCTCTTTAACTCTTAAACTTTCCAGTCATTATTTGAGCGCCTATGTGTCTGGATTTATAATATTTCATTGTACTATACAGTAGTATTGTAATTTTTTAGTTAACCTTCCTTTTCCGTTTTCTTTTTTTCATTTCCCTTATTAGGAACGGAATTGGTATAAAAAAAAGGTTATTGAGACGGAACTCACATTCAGACTGTGTTATAGGATCAAATATGAAGATACAAAAAAAAAGACTTACAAACGATAAAAAGCGACAGTAGCAGCTGTCTTATAGCATTTGTAGACCTGGAAAAAGCGTTCGACAAAATAGACCGGAAACTCTTATTTAACACTTTAAGGAAAGCCGGAATTAATTGGAAAGACAGGCGCTTAATATTGAACTTGTATAAAGGTCAAACCACTGAAATAGATGTAAATGGAAGCAAGAGACAAGCGAAAATTCGTTAAGGAGTAAGGCAAGGTTGCCATCCGTCTCCATACTTGGTTAATTTGTTATTTGAACTTGCAATAGATGAAATGAAAGAACACACTACAGGAATATCGATAAATGGGAAACAGTTTCACTCCATCCGCTTTGCAGATGATATAGCTCTCCTAGCTGACAGCGAGGAAGAAATGAGTTTGATGCTTCATATACTTGAATCATCTCTAGATAAGTTCTAACTAAAAATTAACTACAAAAAAAAAAAGTTATGGTTATAAGTAAAGTTATAACAAATACTAACATTACACGCTTAACAATGAACAATTACAACAAGTAAACGAATTCTGCTCCTTAGGTAACTTGATAACTGATGACAACAAATCTACGAAGGAAATAAGAAGACGAATTACATTAGCAAAACACGCTTTTGAGAAAAAAAGGACACTTCTTACTAATAAACATCTAAGTATAAGATCAAGAAAGAAATTCGTTTGGAGTATATTACTATATTGTTGTGAATCTTGGACAATAGGAAAGTATGAAAAAGATAGACTAGAGGCTATCGAAATGTGGATGTGGAGGAAAATGACTAGAACAAGCTGGATAGAACATAAGACGAATGAAGAAGTGCTGAACGAGATCAATGAAGAAAGAACAATAATGAACACAATAATGAAAAGAACAATAAAGCTAATTGGACATCTACTTAGAAATAATGAGTTTATTACTATCATTATGGAAGGAAAAATAGAGGGAAAAAGATCCAGAGGAAGACCGCGTAAATCCTTCTTTGAAGAAATCTTCAGACGAATGGGTGTTACCTCTTACCAAAATCTCAAGAGGACAGCATTTGACAGACATGTATGGCTACAACAACAAGGCTTAGCCTTTAGAAGCTGATGATGAGCAGCTGTCTATAAACTGATGTATTCATAATCACTTTACTAATTAATTAATTACTTCGCCGATTCCTGTGACTCTTGCATCGGTTTCTTTATTTTGAAGGTATGGGTTCGAATGCCACCGCTGCCGCCGAAAAAGTTATGACTGTTAAATCAAGTCGACAACAAATGAAAGAATAAAACACTAATAAACAAAAACAATACAATTATATTCTTATTCAAAACACAAACGTTCAGTTAACTAAAATAACCTCTGTCCATATACACTTATTCGTCTTGTTTTGTATGTGTATACTTTGTATAAACGGATCGCGAACACGATTCACCGAAGAAACAATATTCACCGCGAATAAAAATATTATTTTTTAATATATTATCGTATAGGTTTTCAATGCGGCGAAAACGGTAAATAAATCATTGACACTTTTGTCTTCAGTACCTATGACGTATTGAGATAAATATTCTCGTCACATGAATATAAATAAAAATTAAACATCTAAAATATATACCTAGTCAAAATAATAACAGGCGCAATACTTCACAAGTGGTCTTCTATGTCCCCTATGGTTCTTTTTGTAATCGTCGCAAACATAATATTTTTTCAACGATAGTCAGTTCGAAATTGAAAACGCTAAATAATTAATTAGCCCCCTACGTTTTTAAATTAGATAATCATTTAGATTTCATAAAAACATGATCAACACTAGATCCACTTTTTTCATTACGTCTAATTATATATTTGATAAGACTTATAAATCAATATTCATTAATCGAATCGGGATATGTCATATTTTATAATTATGTCATTGGAATTTTTTGACATAAATGTTTGTAATATATTGTGTTCAAAATTTATATTCACTTTTATAAAATAAATTTCTATACTAGACATATAATTTGTGTTTAATTCTTGAGCGTCAACGATAGTGTTTCTTAAGAAAATAATTTTTCCGTCATTTTGGTTTATATGGTGTTAAACATGCATGGTGTATTTTAGAATTTTAAATTNGAGGCAGCATTTGCTAGTTTTTTGAACTTTCTTTGGGACTACCGTGACCCGGAAATATTGAATAATGGGCTTCGGTAAAATTATACTTCCACAAATGACCATTATAGATAAAACAAATTATCGAAATTGTTTTTTTATTTAGTAAAGTATATAGATAAATATCTTATTATAGATTATAGATTTTACCAGTATAGAACTAATAAACCTGTCTAATATAAAAAATAATTTTTTTCTACATCTAAAAATGTTTTTTATAGTCCCTGTTACAAGTTTGTGTTTGTGAGAAGAGTTCTTCCAAACTTAATATTGAAAAAAAAACAAACATAGATGTACCATGACACAGGATAGAATAAATGCATTATTATTTTTATTTGTCTAACAAGAATTAACTTGTGTAAACTGTGTAAATGATAGTGAAATTGATGAATTTAAAAATTGAATACCTGTGGAACTTAGATATTATTATAAGTATGTATTATAAGTCCACAATAAAAAGTTTATGAACATTAATAAGAGCTTTGATTATTTCATTTATAACTTACTATGTACCTATTTGACTATTTGATTATATTATAAATATTAAATGTTAACCGTAGGCTAGTGGAAAAGTGCATCTTAGTACCTTATTGTACAACTTCTTATCAAAAAAATAAATAAATAATAGAATTTTGATACCTATTGGTAAAAAAATTAAAACTATGGACCGGTGTGACCGTAGATTTTGACTCCCTAACGATTTGTACTGGAAGAGTCTAAAATTGTTTCCAAATCTCAACTCCCTGATGGAAAGTATATATCTCTAGGTTTATTTCGACCATTTTTTTGTTACAATTTGTCCTAACGCTCACTGATTTTTATCATACATTATTTTTATTATTTTAATTAAATAGTTGATTACCTTGAACATTTTTTTTTAATAACGAAAAAATATAAAATATAGGTAGGTAATACTGTAATTAATTTTGATTAAATATTACATGTTGACTTTATAAATGTTATATATTATAATTATATTTTTATGATTCATGACCTTTCTTTTATACGATTATTATAGTAGGTCGTATTTTTACGATAGATACTATTTGAATTAATTTTTCTTTGCATTACAGTTTTAATAATAAACAATAACAAAAATACTTTACAGCGAGAATAATTTTTCTCACTAACAGAATTGACTGTTGGTACTTTTTCATGGTAGCCAATAAAGCATGAAGATTGATGAACACTAATAAAAATGGTTAACTTACTATTTACTGTCTACGCTACTTCAAAATTACCAACAATTATAAATTACAATCGCATCGTATATAATCGTAATCTGTTTGATACATATTTCATTTAAATATATTCAACATCGTGTAATTTAACCCAAGGGCCAAGAGTACGTAAAATACTATAAAAAATTTTAATTTTTAAATCATTGTTACATCGTAAATGAATGCCACATTGAAAAAAAAAAAAACAAAAGTTCGCCAACCGATAAAATATCCGAGATAGTACACACTTGAACCAAATAGTTGAACAAAACGTTCAAAACATACACAGAGACCTCGTTCAAAGAAAATTATATGTATAACAAAAACTCTGCTAATGGACAACGGTAACGTCTATGAGTTTTCCTTCCCTTTAATATTGGATGTATAATATGCCACCTGTTTTTAGCTCAATTTTAGTATAAAATAATTCTAGGCTACAATGTTAATGTAAGCTTCTTTCAATAAATTAAATACCTGTTTAATTTATTAATCATCGCATCGTACGATATAATCGATCCGAAATGGCTGCTAATATACCCGTAGTCATTCGTTTATATGCAATTTGAATTGCTCATGATATATGTTTCCATCATATCGGTATCATAAATACACGTTTAGACACAGATACCTACTGACCACCGGTGAATATTCATTATGATTAGTGCATTAAATAAAATTATAACATAATTAATATTTTCGGACTAGACGTAAATTCGTATTTAGAATTCAACAGTAATCCGCCATCAAACACACGTATAATTCGTTCGATCAAAAGTCCTATCTGGTTATTGGCAGACCCGTTTGGAAATTCATTTTACCGAGGTAGATAAATGAAATATAATAGTGCACGGCATCGAACGAAAATTATTTCGCTGCAAGTCTTGCAGTAATAACATACCGCAGCGAACCAATTAATATAACTATGAGCCACGAGTTCGTCTTCAATTTAAAATTGGTGAAAAACGACAAATTTTCGGCGACACTAACCGCTCCGGTTTGTGAGCACCTTAATTACACTCTGTAATAAATCCGATGCCGTTAGACATTTCACGATCCGCTTTACGGTTACACAGCAAACACGGTATCAGTGGATTACCGGTTAAACGGGTAGATTCGTCAATGTCGGTATAGCGAGACAAATCATAATTTCAATTCCCGATATAACGTCTACGGTTTTACGACAATGCGCAGTAGACTTCTAGAAGCATCTGTAGCTCCGTATGTCGCTGGCGAAACGATCTACGCCGGACTAGGTAAAGCGAGAGAGAACGTATGAGGGGGTCAGAGCCCGTAGACGCCGTTTGACCGACCTATATATGTACATTGTCTGGTTTGGTCGTCCGTGGCAGAGTATTTTGCTTAATTGTAGTTTTGAGACCATCCAGTGGCGATTTTGGTCTGGATTTGGGTCACTGGTAGTTGGCAGGTTTGCGCAAAACTCCTGGATACTGAAATTCCGGATACATGAAAGTTTAGACGTAGAACTTTGATGTTTCTTACATCTTAGTTAGCTTTTTGCTCTCCGCGCGCTCTAGCGGTAAAATTATTCAACTAATTGAGTATGATGCGTGCGGATCGTGAAAGGTCGTTGTAACAAATTGATTTGTTCCAGAGACGTTTTAAATTTACGTTAAGCCAATAAATTAAACATTTAGATTATTATCTGTGGCGTTACCCGTGCTAAATTTTTGTTTTACCTATCGGTGAGTGAGGGCACTCGACAGTGGGAGAGCGCTTGTACCGTATTATAGTCGTCGCTCGCAGACGACACGCCGTTACTTTTATATTTTTTTACGCAGGCGGTGATCCAGGAGTGGGGAAGTCAAGACCAACCCCCCCCCCCTCCCAAACATCCAGATTAGGTCTTTTATGTTTAGTTGAAAATTAATACAAAATTTATGAAGTGCTTTTTCAATTAATTTCTCGGGGATTTTTTTTGTTTAAAAACAATTAATGTTTACATATGGTATAAATAGTAAACATTTTTTTTATACAGCATAACCACAAATTCTATTTAATTTCAAAATATAATAAATAGTATTTTAATATAAACAGACGATTATATTGTTGGCGAGTAAATATAAATTATAAATGAATTGTCCGATATGATGTTCATTATTTTTGTCGTATTTATTTTAAGTCGTAGAGCATCAAGCGTTTGAGGCGCCTGATATTTTGTGAGTTATCGAGCAGTTGTTTAGCAACTATATTGGTGTGCAACTCCAGTCTATTCATATGTTTGTTGGCGAACTTCTTGATTTCGTCCTGGATGTATAGTATATTGTGATCGCGATGGACATCATTTCTGGCGAACCGATATGCTGCAACAATTACTTTAAAAGGTACTTTAAAGAGGTTATTTTTTTTATTTTCTCAGGATTTTTCCCAGGAAATGTGAGAAACTAGAAAAAAACATCGGTAAACAGGAAAATTGTAGGAAAACCGGAAAAATCAGTACAACATTAAACAAATATTGTTAAAGAAAATATATAAAGCCTATTTAATTATTTTACTATAATATAGCATATATATTGTTGACAAATCATTACTAGTTCAACTGAACTACGTTCAGAATCGTTTTTTCTAAAGCACTGATAAACCATTGCTTTCGAAAAAAAATTGCCTATAACAGAAGCTGCACCCGTCCCTATTATCTTAGGGAGTCTTTTTTTCTTCTATAACTCTGAAAAGATGTGGATTCCATTTGGAAATATTGTTTAGCTTTTAAACAACTAGTATGTACAGTGTACACACACAAATTTGGGACCTAACTAGTGAGTANCCCAAAAAATAACCAGCGTGCAATTCGGATGGAATTGTCGCATATAATTCTTAAACATTATACTAATCAAGCCACCATTTCCGCGTATTGATTATGCTTAAAATAGATCTTAAGAGCAGCGTATTCTGGCACAGATGCTGAGACAAAGTAAATTTTGCTAATATGCGTGTCAAACAATAAATATTATAGTCAAAATTTACTGTTTGTGCGTTGTCAGGGAAATATAGATTTCATTTACTCAATAAATAGTTTTATATTTATTATATAATATAATATTATAGTCAGTTTGTATAAAACTTGAAAGAGCAAAAAACAAACAACACTATACTTTCAACAGTTTTTAGCTTTTCAAGCTAATTAATACAAAGCGGAGAATAACGATAAGTTGTGGATCATGGCGTTGAGAGAAATATTTAGGATGAGTTGTGGTTTGACAAAAAACCGTACTGCTTTTTCGAGGTAATAATATAAAATTATATACATACCTACTTTAATTAAATTTAACCTTTAGACATGTTTTATAAAATATTATTTTTGATGTATTTTAGATTCGGAGTGTAGCTAACGATCTATTAGTTTCACTATATCGGGGTATTTTTTTTAGATTCGGAGCATAGCGAATAACTTTTATACGAGAAATCTTTATGCCAAGTGTCAAGATTTTAGATTTGAAGGGTTTTAACAATGCGAAAAACACTTTTTCTGACTTACTTATCCAATTACCTATTTCTTTGGCCTAGTCATTTTTCGTACTTAGAGTTGCACATAAGTACTTAAAGTCTTCTACTTTCTCGTGCAATAACTGTACTGTGTCCCCGGGGTCTTCATCATTTTAGAGTAATTCAATTATTTTGGTTTTATTGATGTTAATTTAAAGACCTATTCTTTTCGCCTCATTAGCTAGCAGTCTAGTTATGTTCTACGTCTATTTGTCCTATACCTAGCCACCGTACTTTTTGTAAGGCTCTTTTTTAAATTTTGTCCCTCCACTATGTTCTGAGATTTCTCAGGTCTATAAAAGCTCCTTATTTTTATGATTAATTATGTTTCATGGGTGTTTCCATAGTCTAGTCTTTGTTTCAGTTTTTATCCGAGGCTTTAATGTTGTTGATTTCGTAACTGTCTTTTTTTCTAAGGTAGAGTCCTAAGACTACACTCAACCCCAAACTAGAAGATCAGAAACCCCTCAATCAATTAAGATCAAGGGGAGAAATAAAAGATAAGGAATTACTATGCTGGTTGTGATTCCTTGTTGTGTAACGTACCTATTCTATTGAAAATTAATTGTTTTTACATCAATTTTTTTCAAATTAAAACGGCTATTACTCAAAAACTACCGATCAAATATGAATGTATGGTACATTCAAATTTCTAAAATAATATTTTTTTACAAAACTTCTATTTTGAAAATTTTGAAAAATGAAAAAAATGTTCTCTGTTGAAACGTGTCCCACTGACCCAAAACCCGATTGAAAAGAAAAATAAAAATAAATAAATTATGTAAAAAGTTATATTATAATGTTCATATAACACTGTAATATACTGTATGTATACATATAATAATAGTTTTTAAATTAATGCTTTTAAAAGTTATAAATTATATTTTAATTAATATTGTATTCTCATCAAATATGTGTTTGTATAGTCCAAAATCATCGGGAAATATATTTCAAGAGTTTAATGAGCAATTAAAACGGAGGTTCGAAAAAAAACTAAATAAAACGTAAACGTCGATTATGTATGTATTTAATTAAATGTATTAATTAAAAATTATGAATACTTTAGAGGGTTTGAGTTTCCTTTAAACAACAATGATAATGCCAACCAAGATGCTTTCGATACTACGCACGAATTGATAACGGTCGACGGTTTTAAAAAACGTCCTGGTGACTTGTTAAACAACGAGCTTAGGTAAGTATAATTTGCTATCAAATGTTTATTATTAATTTAAATAACAATTTATCTACTGATATATTTAAAATAATAAAACGACAGAATTACCTACAAAACCATATTACCCTCATACGTGTAATATTAATAATATCTATAGGTAGTGATATCTATAGCTAATTAACAAAATCAACGTTTACTGTTTAGTATGCAAAAACTATAATTATGTAGTGTACTTATTCTAGTTTATATTCATTTTTTATGTCTGTGAACGACTTTCTCACCAGAAAAATAGCTCCTATTAAAAAATAACAAGAAAGTTTTGTTGATTAATTTTGGATCTATTGGTATTGTAGTAATACTGGATTACTACTATTTTTATCGTCGGGTCTCCTAATCGGAGTCCCTACGTATTTTCGTATTCTTTATGTACAATTTCGCGTATCAATAGTTTCTGCTCTTATTATATTATATGTGTTTGGGCTATTACACTAGATGATAGTTGTTTTTGAATTTGGTTTAGAATATGTTATTTTTACTTTTGATTTATTATCTCATTTCCGCAAGCAGATGATATAATTGTCCTCATACGAACCTGTTCAGTGGGGCTCATTATCTTTACGAATAAATAAGCAATAATAATATGTAGGTGCCCTCGGTAAAGGTGATAGAACTAACAAGACTTGGTGAAACCACGTTTGGTTTCCAAACGCGTGTCTTTCGAAGGACTTGTTAAATCAACAATGGGCGGCGTCCCTTAAATTAGGTAGTATATATACGGACGCCCGCTCTTATGTTTTTTTTTTTTAAATTGACATTAGAGGCGTCATTTGGGGGGAGGGAGTATGCATTTGCCTAACCGTAGATTTAAAAGTAGCTCTAGGCTAGCTGCCGAATCTACATGGACTGGCTGCCAGATCAATATGAACCGAGTCCATTATATCATTTCATCAGTTGATCATTACAATACGTATGGCAAACTTTGTCAAAGAGACTGGGAGTTGATGGAAGGTTTAAAATAGAAACCAGTTCATATAAAAGAAATCCCTTAAGTTATGTGTGATTATAAGTATAATATAGTACATAGTTTTAAAATTAAAATTTGTATTTTTTAACTAGACAAACTGTGTCCATTAAAACTAAATGATTGGCGAAAAAAAATCTATATTTTATGTACTGACTAACGATAAAACATGTTTTTCGGGGATGAAGGGTTTTTTGCAAACAGTCCACAACCGGCCATACAAATTGAGTACTAAATAATGGTAAAAACAAAAAAATTTAAAATGTATTATTTGCATTGAAGGGGGGGGGGCTAAAAAAACGTACATATTTCAATACATTTTATTAGACCCCACGGAATTTAATAGGAGTTTAACATAGTAGGTACTTACTCATTAATAGTACTCTAGTATTACTCATTAGTACAATATGTGTATTGCAGAAATAGGTAGACTACAGCATATATTGTAGAAAAAAATTTCCCCAGAAAATTTTACTATCGCCCCTAATCAATTATAGCATCCCATACTCCTTTTAACCAATTCACGCCTGCAGACACTGTTTTCCGCTTTATAGCCCGGTTGGGAATCTTTTCAATATTAAGTTTTAGGACATAATATTATTTACGTTGTATAAGAGTATGAATACAATTATAAATTTCAGTGGATTCCAACTGGTGTGGGCACTAGTTAATATGGGCATCCGTGTAATGTGTATAAATATGTATTTTGATATGGAAATTTTGAAATTCTGACTCCAGTTTATTTTACAGACGTCTAATCACGACCATCTAATCTAGCGGCTATTGTTGGCATTGCAATTTTTGTTTGATTATTTTTTACGGCTTCATTTTTCAAGTTTTTTATCCCGGTTTTAATATTTTTGTACAAGGGTTTATCATAATAATTTAACTTTGTAACTATATGAACAATTTTCCTGGGCCCACAACGTTTTATTAAAGTATCTCTCATTTTCAATTTATAATTGACCAATTCCGGTCTAGTATTGGCATAAGTTTCATATATTGTTTTCGCAAAACCCTTACTCATTTTAAGATCCGCGGACACGCAATATGCAATAGCAAATTCAAATGACGAATTAAGTATCTAGTCGTTTATTTCAATTATATCGTTTTTTCTTTTATCTTTTATCTTTATATAACCTAGTCGTCAAATATTATAATATTTTTACATTGAATTTGTAATTATAAATTTTTATTTGGATGCACGTACATCCAATCGTGAATAACGGTTTATTATCGAGAGCTAACAAACGTGTTGTTGTCGGTGTTATTTCATGGCTGTAATCTACGAGCTGTTGTTTGTCACAGCATAAATTGGCTCCCGTGTCAAGTGTGATTGGTATTATAGTATTATTAAATAAGGCATTTATGTATAACGTATCTAGCGCGTGTTATTTTATTTATCGAATTTTGTGCTGTCGTAGAAGGCGAACTTTCGACAACTAAGTTTGACCTATTAATTATTTTTTTGACTTATTGAAGAAATGGTAACAACTCATAGCGGTATGACTGGATTTATTGCATACCTGGCATGAAGTTGTGGGTGGTCTATTCCTGTGATAACATTCTTCATCAGAATGTCCGGTTTTTGAACATATTAAACACGTTTTCATTTGGTTAGAGACTTTATAATTATTGAGTGAGTTATTATTCGAATTTCTTTGATTGATCGGGTGAGACGGTTGATTATATTGATTTGTATTATTTGATTGCTAATTATTGTCGAAATATAGTTTTGATGGTGGTCTATACCGTCAATTAATATAATTATTATTCCATCTTTGATAATCAGTATAGTTGGGTAGTGAATTATTGTGTCGGTTGCTTACAAAACTATGTTTGATTTTCTCGGAATTTATTAATAATAATTGTTGATTTGCCATTTTTAACTTATCTATTTCCTGATGCAATTTATCAACTTCGCATTTTTTGAGTTACTATCTTTATTTATTACTTTTATTTTAGATTGTAAAATTTCTGTTTTAATTTCAAATGGGGATTTAGAAGTTTCGCCTATTATCATGAACTCAATTATTCCATATTTTTTCATATTATTTTTTAACTTGGCCAAAGATTCGTTACCCATAATACCTTTGTACCGGACTATGGATGGCTTTAATCCCTTAAAAATACGTCTAATAATTGTCTCCTGGGGCATATTCTTGTCAATCCTTCTACATAGGGCTTTTAAATATTTAAGTAGCCTTGTCTTTAGATCTACCACTATCCCTGTTGTTACTAAATTTCGGCGGGCTAATTCGTTAATCAATTTATCTTTAGTTAATTTGTGAACCCAAGTTGTGAATATAGTTGTAAAGTCTATTGTTTTTTTATCGTCCTGATTGTTCTGTTCGGAACCAAATATATAGAGATTTGTATGATTTCAACACCAATTATCGTTATTTATTATAATTTATTACAATTTAGGCAGTAAAATGTTTATATTTGTGTTTGGATTATAAACGATGACAAAAATGTAATGACTTGTTTATTGCGCTGACGTGAACTAAATGTTTATTATTATTATTTTTTGTAATATTTTATAAAATTAAATGTAATTATGATGAATAAATATAATACTACCTACGGTTACTCATATTTTTTTTACTTGTTTTGACGTAAATTAAAGTATATATTATAATAATATAATTTATATTCTATGATCAATACCTAATATATTTTTTGTAAATTATGCGTCCTACAATATGGTTTTATATTTATAATTATTTTCCTTTCTACAAATATTCAAAAAATATAAGGTGTTATTAAGAATATATGTATTTATTTATTTTCCTTTTTTAATATTTTGGATTTTTTTTTTTTATATATATAATTCTTATTGGTTAAATAAAATGATGAAAAATAAATTAGTTCGCCCCTACGGACTGTCTTAGGTTTTATATGGAAATATTATGTATGCATACAGATTTTAGTCCATTTTATTATTCTTTCACGTAAGATTTATGTTCAATATTTAATTTTCTTACGATTTAATCACCTTATTGGTTAGAATTAAAGATTACCCATGACACTTGGAACCAAGTAACCAATTAGCCTCTACCTCAGAGTGTATAATTTTTCTAAGTATACATACTTTTTCTTTTCTTTTAATTTTTCTACATGAATTAATGTATTTTTATTATAAATTATAATTTTTTTTTTTTATTAATAAAATTGGATAATAATTTAAAATTAAAATAAATTCACCTTTTTCGGACATTATGGTCTCTTAGGTTCTATACATTTTTTTTTAAATTATTTTTTTAATACTATATTTTTTGTTAATTAAATCAAAAAATAAAAATAATATTTTACCTTTTCGGACTTTATTGTCTCATAGGTTTCATATTTTTATACTAATATGTTTCCTGCCTCTTCAGTCTAATTAATAATTTTTTATAATACATTTATTAGGATCGGTTTTAATTTATAATTATTCGGCTAATATCTATGATACAAATTAATTCTTCTTTATTTTCTATAGATATTACTAATTGATTTTTATATTCTATATTGTTCTCGTCGAAATTTCAAAATATTCTTTTATTTATGTTGTTTTTTATTATTATTATTATTTAATACCTAATACTCTTTTGATACCCTTAATTCTTAATTCGTAACGTACCTATTCTATTAAAAATTAATTGTTTTCACATCAGTTTTCTTCAAATTAAAACGGCTATTACTCAGAAACTACCGATCAAATATGAGTGTATGGTACATTCAAATTTCTAAAATAATATTTTTTTACAAAATTTCTATTTTGAAAAGTGAAAAAATGTTCTCTGTTGAAACGTGTCCCACTGACCTAAAACCCGATTGAAAATAAAAATAAAAAATAAATAAATTATGTTAAAAGTTATATTATAATGCTCATATAATACTGAAATATACTGTATATATATAAAATAATAATATTTAAATTAATACTTTTAAATGTTATAAATTATGTTTTAACTAATATTGTATTCTCATCAAATATGTGTTTGTATAGACCAAAATCATCGGGAATTATACTTCAACAGTTTAATGAGCAATTAAAACGGAGGTTCGAAAAAGAACAAAATGAAACGTAAGCGTTCGATTATTTATGTATTTAATTAAATGTATTAATTAAAAATTATGAATACTTTAGAGAGGTTGAGTTTCCTTTAAACAACAATGATAACGCCAACCAAGATGCTTTCGGTACTACGCACAGAATGATAACGGACAACGGTTTTAAAAAATGTGCTGGTGGCTTGTTAAACAAAGGGCTTAGGTAAGTACACATTCGCTATAAAATGTTTATTATTAATTTAATTAACAATATTTACCTACTGATATATTTAAAATAATAAAACGACAAAATTACCTACAAAACCATATTACTCTTATACGAGCAATATTAGTATCTATAAGTAGTAATATCTATAGCTTATTAACAAAATCAACGTTTACTGTTTAGTATGCAAAAACTATAATTATGTAGTTTAATTATTCTAGTTTATATAATGTGGTTTAAATTTTAAATACCTAGACGTGGAACCGTGGTATATGAATGGTTACTACTTACTGTCATATTTTGGATATATTTTTTTTAGAAATACGAATACCTATTGTGCTTACATCAATGTGTGCTTATTTTTTGTGTCTATGAGCGACTTTCTTATCAGAAATATAGCTCCTATTTTAAAATAACAAGAAACTTTTGTTTCTCCCAGAGTGTTACAAAGAACCTTCGGTTATTTAAGTGTTTAAATTATTTTCATAAATTTGTAATCTCTTGTCATCCGATATACTTTAGAACATAGTAAGTCATAGTTAATCTATCATATGCAGTCAATAAGTCAATAAATGATATCTCGGTAATCTTTTTCTCTTCGAACCCGGTTTAATACCGGCCCTGTGCATGATTTCACCGGACGGAATCCTACTTGTTCCTTTATGAGATTGTCGTCGATAATAGTCTATTTATGAGAATTCTTTCATATAAATTTATATTTTTGACATAATAGAGAGACTGGTCAATAACTATAGATGAAGTACTATGTTCCTCCCTGGTTTTAACAGAGCTATTACTTTTGCATTTCTCCAGATCTTAGGGATCTTTAAAATAACACTTATATTATTGAAAAGATTTAACAGCCATAGTTTTGTGGTCCTACCAAAATGTTTAATTACCATAATTATGATCGTATTTCTAAGTTCGTGCGTTTCGTTGTTGTCCGTCTGTATAATCCTCCTTCGTAAAAGCTTCGTAGTCCTTGTTACTGGTTCGAATGCGGTTACCGCATCATCTAGGTCTTTCGCGAAGGTGTTCCAGCCTACTTTTTTAAAGTTAAATCTCCTCGAAAATGGAGTGTCGCATGGTTTGATTACTGCCGTAACTTTGCACAGTATAGATCAGTGCTGCATGTGAGGTAAAGGTCTTCAGATTTTCTTGGTACATTGGGGAACTATTGTATAACTTACAATTATTAAATCAGGATTATAGCCTTCTTTTCCTGTACCACTGTTGAATGATAGTGGAAATTTTGGATCATGGATTAATGTTAGCCTATTGTACTCTGATCAAACCTCAACTTGATGGCCATAATTATATATTTCATCGTAACCCCAGTTGGTATGGTAGCTATATAATGTGTATATTTCTAGTGACGAAATTATCTGATTTCTCGAATGCAAATGTTGATTTAAGCGATTTGCAAATAGAGGTCACAGTGCATTTAAACTTCTTCAGTAAAGATCTCGATGTCATATATTTCTGTATTTTTATAGAGGTAACCTCAATTAAGGTTCGAAAAAATATAGCATTTTCATACTTTCTATATCGTCAAATTGCAACGAGCTTCACCCCATTGATTTTTGGAATATTTATATCTTCACTTCTGTGTGTTTCTTGCACACATAGTACATTACATGAGTTTTCTTTACATTAGTCAGCAAGCAGTACTTCTTTATTTTAATTTATTCCTTCGATAGTGCATAAGGCGATAGTCAGTGCTAGCCCTGAAAAAGACCGTTTTGTATCTAGTTTTGTAGAGATCATATGTGCCAGAGTTCGAAAAAATTAGCTGTTAAGATCGTTGCCTGGGTTGCATTACGTAAAGGATTTCGTCCATGTACACTATTAAACTAAATTAATATACTTATTGAAATTTTTTTTTAAACAAAGTATACCGGCCAAATATTAATAATATAATATTATCTGAACAATTTTAAGATTAACTAAATCTGCAAAGTGTGGAATGTACGATCATCAAATATTAAAAAGTTTAATGAATGATGCACTAAAACCACCGAATGATAAAGATAATATACAAACTATGGAAGATAGTAATTATAGTATTATTTTTTTCATAATACTACTTTACCTAATTAATTATGCACAATTATCGTATAGTTAAAGTGAAATTATTAAAAAAGATGGGAATAAATGAAAAATATAAAAATGAAGATAGAAGTTGGTTGTCTAAGTATTTGCCAAAAACGCAAAGTGAACTACCGCCACGCTCTATGAATGTAAGTGTTAATGGTTTGTTTATTTTCCATTAAAAAAATCTAAAGAATTATAATTTATTAACAATTAATTGTATAATATTCATTTTCAAAAAATATAAAGGATAGTTATGATATAGCAATAGTTCCTTTGAGCACTGATTTGGTACTACAAAATAAATACACGACTACACTAAAGAGTTTACGAATGGGGCGTCTTCTAGAAGACATGGATAATTTTGCCGGTAAACAGAAAGTAATAAATAATTTTTATAATCAGTTACTTATTTTTTTTTTTCTAAGTTTGGGTTGTTATGAAGCATATTCATAATCCAAAACAGCCAGATGATATTCCTACACCATATGTTATTGTAACATTATTGGTAGACGATGTAATCATCAATCCAATTCAATTTGTAAGTTAACTTAATTAGTTTAAATTTAAAAAAAAAATACGTATTTATTCAAATTTGTATTATAGTCTGATAGAGATTTAATATTAAGTGGGCAAGTAACATATGCTGGCAAAACTTCATTAGAAGTCACTTTATGGTTGGATCAAAAAAATGGCGATAAATTTAAGCGCATTACTAGAGCTCATTTTGTATTTGTTGCTCGGGATCCTACGAACACAAAATCGGTCATTGTTAACAATTTAGTACCAACAGGAGAGCGAGAAAAACAAATATTGCTTCAATCTGCAAGTAAATAATAATATACAAATTATTATTTTATAATATAGTTATAGAATATAGTAATACATTCAATGCTGTATAAAAAATAAACTAAAACAATTGTATATAGAAAAAAATGAGGATAGAAAAAAAGCACGCCAAAATGCTATATTAGAAAAAATTCCAACCTCTGAAGAACTATCATTGATGTATGGAACAATTCTGAAAACTGTTGATCAAAATAAACCAATAATTGGTAATACAGTATTGCCAAATAATTGTATGTGGATGAATGATACAAAAATGGAAACTAACAACGTTTGCCATCCTGAAGTAGTTTTATAAATAGTGCAATATTGTTTTATGATAATTTAAAATATTTATATATATTTTTTTTAAGGATCGAAATTTACACTACACTGTTTTTGGAGGTTATTTGATGCGTGTAGCATGTGAACTTGCATTTCTAGTGGCAAGTATACACTGCAAATCAACAGTTGAACTCAAAGCAATTCATAATATTACGTTCCGTGAACCAGTTCCACTAGGGAGCAGATTAAAATTAACAGGGAAGGTAAACCTTAAATATAAAAATTTGGCGGCAACAACCAGATAATATCTCAAATTTTTAAAATTGTTTAGGAGGAATAATAAACTGTTTTATAAATCAACGAATAATTTTGAAAATTAACAGAAAATATACTCAGATACCTTGAAAATTTATAATTTGTATAATTAATATTATCAAAAATAATTTTTAAATATTCAAAAAAAAATAAATAATAATAATGTGGAGATGTCTGGTTTTATTAAAAATTATTTGTTTACTTATAATATATAAAAATAATATAATTATTATTATTTTGTTTAAAATTGTTTTTTAATCTTGTTCATAGATGTGTAAATAACATATTTTATATTTTCTTTGTATATATTGTATATATAAAAAAAATAAAAGACGTAATCATAAATTAAATACAGTATGACCAATGTTTGGTGCAACAACCAGATATCTCCTGGATATGTATTGTTATCCCAACAAAATTAAAACCAGATATCTCCATTTATACAATAACTCTTTATTTAATTATTGGATTTATCTGATTGTTTCACTTATCAACGTATATTTTTTTTGTCAATACATAAAGTCAAAAAACTGATTTTCGCCAAAATATTTATTCACATTATTTTTATTAGATTTGTTATACAACTGATAGAACAATGATTGTTCAAATTATCGCTGAGGTTGAAGAAATCACAAGCACAAAAAGTTTTATGTCAAATTCATTTGATTATGTGTTTGTTGCTTCGAAAGATTTTAAAGAAGTGTTACCTCAAGACAGTCATGGTAAAAATAATAAATTGCAAAATTATATATGTATAACTAAATAATTAAAAAAAAAAATTATTTTTAGATTCATTACTTTATATTGATGGGCGTAGACGATACTGTGAATTTGTTGACCGTTTGAAATCAGAAGATCATTAACCAAAACTCTTTAGTTTTAAAAACTTAGTATTTTTGTAACATAAAGATGCACTTGGTTACTTTTTAATTTGCCATTTCCTTTGAACAGATTCAAATATTTGGTTTTGTACTATACTGTTTTTAAACTTATTTTATTAACATTTATACCAACTTTAAACAGTCTAAGCTTCATGGAAGAAAATCTCCATTTTACTTCATCTTATCTACATCTAATTGTTGATTTGAACCTTCTTCTTTCATGATACACTTAATTTTCCCCATTGTCCATGTCTGCTCTAATCTTATGTTATAACTGGATCCTGACTCTATAAGGAAATCAACATTTGTTTCTCCAACTTCACATAAAACATATTTTGGTCACCTTTTTCTACCATTAGTTCCTTGAAGTACTATGACACCATCATCTGTTTTATCTGCGTTGACTGCGTAAACATTTCCCCTCTTTGGTTAATTAGACAATTTTCTACCATGTTAACGAGTCCATAGTAGTTTTATAAATTTTGTTTTTTAACCTTGTATGGTGAAACGTTTCGTAAGTGTCATAAGTCCATGGAAATATTCCCCATAATTTTGTTATCTTCAGAATAATCCTTGATGTGTTGTGTAAGGTCTTATCCAAATGGTTTTTTCCAACTTCTTTTACAAAGTGAATTAAATAAACATAATATAATATCACTTATAAAGTCCACCCATATTTTTTTAATACAATGATCCAACTATTTAAAAATAATTACAAAATTCTAATTGCTTCTAATAATTTTTAAATCCACTTCAGTATAACTTTGTGTTAAATAAACACTAGAAATATTTTTATGTCTACCCCTTATAAAATATCATTCCATTATTGATTGGTTTTCTAAAACACAATCGTCAAAAATAACTAAACTATTCGGTTTACATTCGTCAACAGAAACTATACCTTCATTATAAATAAATATTTCGATTTCATCTATACCATTAAATACTTTTTCAAATTTTTCATTTATTGTTTGATCAATGGGTTTTGTAAAAATATAAAGATTTTCAAAAGAAATCCAAAAATTTTTTATAATATTCCACAATAAATTAGTCTTCCTACAATTAAACATTGTAATGGTATAGGAAATATGGATTCTTCATTATCTTTTGTTTTCATTATTTTCATCTTTTGTTTTGATATCATCTTGTAGGTTAATAAAAATAAATAAAAGATCTTCACAGTAAATATTAACGTTTTCTTTGTGATTGGGTATGGATTTTTTTATTGTATTACAATGCAATTCTAATGGAATATTAGATGGTTTATTTGCTGGATAAATTCTAGTTTTTAAAAAATTATCAAACTTAATCCCTAGATTATTACAAAGGTTATTATAAAACATAAAATTATTTTCATCAGTTTTAATTTCAATTAAATCATTATCAGAAACTTTTTATTAATTTTAAATTTGAACACTTATTTAAAAATCGAGAATTTAACCAATGTTTAAAAACTTGATACCAATAAAACCACAATAATATACTTAAAATTACAGTATACTAGTTGTACTCAATAATTATTTCTATGATTACAAAATTATAAATTACTAACTTAATTTTATGGCAAAAAGTGACCAAGTGAAAACGGTTTTACTTGGTCATTTAAAAAGTAACCAAGTCATAAGTATAATATATTTGATCATTAGTTTCTATTATGTTTTATATGAGAATAATTGTATTAATATTATAATAATCTGTATACATAAACATAATTCAAACAACAAACTTTTATTTTTACTTAATTGTTGGAATATAGTTTAAGAAACATAACATAAATTGTTCATTTTATGTGAAGACATCATAATATTATTATTATTTTCGTATTATAAAATAAAATAACAACCGCATTATTATATAACAAATAATAGAAAATAAATCTTTGAAATAACTAGAATTAAACAAATAATATAGTAATGTTACATCACTTTTAATACAAATTAATTATTAATTGTATAAGTACTAGTAGTTTTTTTAATAAAAAAAAACATTTTAATTAGGAGCCCCTGAAAATCTTTGGCGAACAGCAAACTTTGAAAATTTATTTGAAAATAGCTCAGACGATCAAATTAACCATAACTAAAATTCTGAAGTAATTGATTACATATTACTCGCGCAAATTTGAGTTGTAAAATTATCATAAGTAGTAGTGGGTACTAATCACGGTGTAGATTAATTTTCATCAACATCGTGGTAGGTATTAATTCATTATTAGGTATTCATGCATTAGAGCTACAACATAAGTTATGATCGTGAAAAATTAATAAACTTATACAAATTATGGAAACTAAGGAAATTGTTCAAAATTAGAAAATAAGCAATAATATTTATACTTTCTTTACTTTAGTAACTTAAACTTTCTGTGTAGTAAGCTAGTATGCATTATTATTTCGTGAGTATTATATTCGGTGTGTAGAAAGCTGAAATGTTTCTAAAATATTCGAAGTTTGACGTATGCTAAAATACATTTGATTGTGTGAACCGGACTTTAGTATTGCGTTAAGTTTTAAAATTTGATATTCGAGATTTGTGACTTTTCATGGTACACGCGTGCTGTTGTGTACACACAACTTGTGTGGGTGTTATTTTACAATACACACCCAGCGAGTTTAGAAAAAAAAAACACAAAGAAAATAGTCTCGATGACCGCTCAAGTGATTCGTTGACTCGCATTGAAGTAAATAACTCGAATGAACTTTATCCAGAAAGTAGGTACCCGTCGTTATAGACGTTGTTGAAGTATATTGTTCTACTGGAAATCCGTCTCTCACCCTCACACCCCCCGGCAGTCGCAGTCTCCGTCATCGTCTGCCGTCTGTTGGTCATCCGACCGGAATCGAAAAGCGATTATCGAGCACCGCCGTCGTTTTTCGAGCGGCAGCACCGACGAACCCTGTAAAAACGCGAATGCGTCATCCCGTCATTACGAAAACGTTATCGTTATTATTATTGTTGTCATTACACTACGAAACGTCACCCGCGCGCGGACCCACGAAAACGAGAGCGCGCCGCCGACCGTGACGAGGTTTCCCGCGTGACTCATCGCGGAACGGCGGCGAACGTGGTGCCGTCGCGCACAACTAGGTGGCGCTTCGCCGTGACCGGTCGATCGCGTCGTCGCGTTTATTACGTAGCCGGCGGACGGACGCCGCCGCCGCCGCGCGCCCCGTGCCTTGTCGGATATAATCGGCCGCCTGCCCGACGACCGCTCCGCCGCGGTGCGGCAACGCGCGTTCGTTGACTCATCTCGTATATCATTAGCGAGTGCGACGGTACTGCGGCGCGTTATCATATCACCACGAAGGACCTCGCGGCTGTGTCGTTTCGGTCGCGTACTGTTTGCGACGTCCGAACCGCGGTCTGTCGTTTTTTTAATTTTATTTTTTCCTTTTTTTGTCCCCCCCCTCTCTCCCCGTTTAGTTCCGTTCCGCTCGAGTTTTTTTTTTTTTGCTCGTCACACGCTTTCGACCGGTTCCGCACGCGACCAATAATCGGGTAGGTAACGTATTAACAATAATAATAATATCAGTTTTTGCCGTCGTCCGTGCGCGCCGTCCCGGCTCGTCGCGGGGTTAACGGCCGCTTTTCGGTTTCTTCGCAGCACCCGCCCCGGCGCGGCGTCCCGAACGTTTCGCGTTACCCCGTCAACGGCACTGCGGCTGGCGAAAAGGTGTGAAAACCGCCCCGGCGATCACAAGGTAAGCCGGATTCTTATAACGGTATTTGCCGGATGGTAAATCGCTCGCGGAAATTTCGTTACTGTACGGGAACGTATCGGCAACCGCAGAAATCTTTGGTTGTCGCGCGGGAAACCGTAGTGTAGGACGTTAGCGTGCTGCTGTCGGCGAATTTACCCCACGCACAACACACGGTTCGTGGGTACGGTTTGTTTACGAATATTATTGTTGTTAACGGTATCGCGCGATTGGTATTAGGCCGTGTGTTCGGAACGATGATAACGTCGACGCGAAACGACAATACCGATAGGTATATTGTAGATTCGTTCCCGTCCCCCGTCGCCTGTCGCGAATTGTGGCCGCCGTTCGAAACGGTTTTCGAACGGCCGTTGCGATATTTTTCTCCGCGTGTCCGGACCACGGATACTTTTAACGAAGAAACGGACAGGCCGCTCCTATAACAATTATTGTTGGGTGAGGCGATAGGTCCCCGGAGGGTATGGTAAACCGAGGCGATTCGTCACTGTGCGTATAGACAAAACTATTGACTTTACGAAACTGTGTGTGACTGTACACGCCGCCTTGAAACGCCGATAAGGGGTATCATGTCCACACCTCTATTATCTGTTGTTCGGACGGCCGCGCAACCCTTTTTTTTTTTGTTTTTCATCAATCCCGACTCTGTCCCTGTTAAAAAAAAGGTTTATCACAATATCACGCGATATCGGTAGGTAAGCTTTACACTACGTCTACGCACCTCAAGCGTTCAATATTGTTTTCGAAGTCTCCGCGAAAACGGAATTCGTTAACGATTGAATTACCTAACCTTTACCTTTTCCGCTACACGCATAGCCGACGTTCGCGTCTAGTATAAATCGTCATTCTACCAGCACGGACGGAAAATTGTCGACCGGAGAGTCCGGCGGAATCGATATTTTATCCGCATTTCTAAATAATACCGCAGCTCCGTTGTTGTTATGATAGCGGTTACGTACAGTGGTGCGTTTCACAGCCCCCGCCGAGGTTTTAGGTTCGGCCGATTGGCTAGAGATTAAACTTACGAATTATAAACGGGGACGGGGAATAATGTGTATACACTTTTAAATTAAACTCACCTCACGCTTGGGACGGAACTCGGACGCGCAGCCGTTCGGACGATTGCAATGTATTACGATAAGGCAGCGACGTGCGCAGTGGAGGAGGTGGCGGGACATTAGGAATTATATCCCCGTCGGCTTGGAAATACAACGACCGCTTACGTACGGCGTTTATTCGGCGATTCAATATAAAAATCTGGCGAATTTGGTTTAGCTACCGATTTGTTTTTCGCTCCGGCTTTCCCGGAGTCGGCCAGAGAAGAATATTCGGCGACGGTTATTTCGGAACTATTCAATGCCGACCATCTACCGTTGAAATTCCCGGGCCGCGGTGTGTTTAAACCGGCATTTGAATTGTAGGTACGTTCCGGCGGGATATAATTCGCCTCTGAAAATGCTATTCGGAATGTGAAATGCGTTTCGGAGTTTCCTCGGGTCGCGTTTGGGTAGTCCGCGCCGTGTAGCAGCTTACCGCGGATAGTTTACCTGTGTGGGAAGAAACGCAGAAGCGATTAATGCGGACGTTCCATTAAGAAAATAATTTCGATGAGCGTTTATCAAGTGTGGGGAGGGGGGAGAGAGGGTTGATCGCCGGCGAATTTATTTCGGACAGTCGACACGCGGGAAAATGACGTTGCAGTTTTATAGGATTTTCGCGGGCCCGTTCGATTCTATGGATTCCGATCCGCGAAACGGAAATATTACAGACGGCTAGGTACGAAAATGTCGAATGATATTAAAGACGGCATTTTTGAATTTCTCGGCCCGATCGACGCGAAAAAACTAACCGGGTTTTCCGTTTTTCCGAGTAGATTCTGGCCTGTTCGCGATTTCATCGTTGGTCGTGTTCAAAACGTCGTCGTGCGTACATGTATTTCTTCAAGAGTTTTGTTTGGTAGGGATATAACGGTCGCGATGAGAACAAAATATCCCACCGGATCCCAAACCTAGGGGGGGTGGTGGGGTGGTTCGCGAATGTATCGGCAACAGACCCGCACATAAAAGGATCAATCGTTTGAAAATATTATTGCTGAATTCGTAAAAAAAAAAAAAAATGAAAAGAAAAAAAAACGTTCTTAGAAATTGACTTTTTTTTAAAAAACGAAATTGTGATTTACGGATATAAATTTGATATAATTTAAGGTATTTGATGTAATCTACCTCTTAATAAATCCTTATCAGTATGGTAATCTCAGTACACCTGATGTTTGACACATTTCAATTCGTGCCAATATTGATCTTTTTAAACCAGTTAAATTAAAAAAAAAAAAAAAAAATCATAATAATGAAAAGCGAAAAAAAAACTATTTTTTCAATCGGACAACACTACAGAATCAAGGGGAAACGTCGACAACCCCGAATTAAGCGGTGCGCATTGGGCCTGTATATCTCTGAATCGGGCTCTGATCGGTAACGGAACGGCCGTCAATAGACTCCGCAAAGGCGGAGAACCGCCCGGAAACCCGCGGGTTTCGAGACGCGCACGGCCGGGTGGGAGCTGCGATTCGGTTGTCGGTCGCGCCGCGGCGTGTTTCCTCCCGGTTTAACGACGCGGTGTTTCGTTACACGCCCGTCGCCGGACGTGACGTATCCAAAACGCATTTACCCCCTGAACCGTTCTGGCCTGGCGTTTTCGAGTGGCGTGTGCGTTCGGTCCGGTCGCGACGTCATTATTATCGCGTCGGGTGTCCGGCCGTCGTCGGTTTTTCGTACGTTCGATCGGCCACGGGTTTTCGTCGACGGCGGTAACAATGCGACCGCGAGGGATGATCCCCGCCGTGCGTGTGTCGTCGCCACGTGTTGTGCGCATGCGGATCGGGCGGAAAAGGAACAGAAAAAAAAAAAAAAAAAAAAAAAACGAAGAATAACAATAAAAGGACGTAAAACTAAACCGCCCCGATCGGGCGCTCACGAATCGCCTCCCGCGAATTCCTTTCGCAAAGATGTTACTCGAATCGCATCAGGATTTTTCAAAAATATCTTATTTTAGACAGTGACCCTTTTGTGTGCTCGTATCGCCTCCGATAGTTATTACTTATAATCGTAATCGGTTTTCGAAACGATTCTGAATTGAAATCGTTTTCGAACCGAAATTCATTGTTGCCGCGCACATGAAAATACTCGTCGTCGACACCGTATCGGTTTATCGGTTTTCGTTTGCGCGTCGCAGGGCCGATGTTGTTATTATCCGAAATAATCCGTTGTTTTATAAACGGTGGCGTCTCGGTTGTTTTTTATTTTACATTCGACATTTCCTTCCGTTGAAATTGAATTGGTAACCGTATAGGAAACCGAGTAAATTGTTGTGGAAATTGTGATACACTGCATCGACTGCTTCGACATTGGCTTTCCGATGAAAATGTCGAAAATATTGAACTTAATAAGTCCGACTTTTCAGATGACATTCAGGCTCCGTCATATGAACGCGATATGGTTATTACTAACGCCGTCGTTAGATTCTACACAATGTCCGTTGTCATTAAAACCGGAGATTTAATAAACACGACGAGAAAAAAACAACACCGTTTAGTTTTTCAATTGTGGTATTTTTCTCCCGATTGTAATTGTTTTGTCAAATAATTCAGTAATCTGATTCACAATATATTTCTCCATGCGCACAAACACAATTCGGCGAATTACAGTGACCGTCTCCCAACTTCCGGTCATCGCAAACTCCAATCACTAGACTCTGTTAACAACGTCAAAACACGCCTATACAGTGTTAATTATAAATTCCGAGGGGAAGGGGGGGGCACAATTTTAGTATAAATGATATTATATTTAATTTCAATAATCCCCGTGTTCCTAAATCAATTTGCTAATACAGCGCATTGCTCGACAGATTGATAAAGTTTAGAAACATTATTTTTGTTATTCAGTTGAAACATAATATTGGCGAGTACAATTATTTAAGGTTACCCATAGGCCGTAATGGCCAATATTTTATTCTTATTATTTTTCATTATATTCGTCGAGATCTATAAGTGTAAAACGTTTGATTAAACGTTACAATAATGTATGATATAGGCGTACACTCTAGGATTATTTTCGCGTGCCTATACGCGTGCCCAGTCGGAGATACAATGGACAAACTTTTCGTGTACATATTACGGTCCGCTCTTCCGCGCGTATGGTTCGCGGACGAAATCTGCTCATTTCGAACTGTTGAACTTATTGTAGGGTTAGGTTAGGCCAGATTTGTAGTTAGATTTTTCAGACGGCATTTAGGTTTCGTGTCGGGGCCGTGGTGTTAATGAGATTGCTGTTTTATTACTAAAGGTATAATTGTCACTAGCGCAATGATTTTCGCAATGATAATAATCACACAAAATATATTTTGTGATAATTCCTCTGCCAGAATGACAGGCGTTGATAAAAACGGTCTTTCGAGAGAGAGAGAGAGTGAGAGAGAGAGAAAAGGTTTCCCCATTCTGGCACATTTCCCTTTATTATGTTGGGTATAGCCATGGCCTATCCGTTCTTTAATATCTATAACGGCGTTCGCCCGCGTCGATTGTGATAGCGTTATCAAAAAAAAAAAAACGCAACAACATAATTTACAAAATATTTACGTTTCGGCGATTCGGTGACCGTAATAGTATCGTGTATAACCGTAAATTGAATAACCGCCACGGGCGAACAGCCGGCAAAACGCGGCTAATATGATAATGTTCTCGCCGGAGAGGAAAGTAGGGGAGGAGGAACGCTCGCAAATAAAACGGCCTTGCGCGGGTAAGTGTACACCTATCGCGCTGGGCAACGTCGACGGGGGAACGGCGGCCGTATTCTGAGTATCGGCACGGACGAAAACTGGTTTCGCGCTCGCCGTCGTCTCCGCCGGAGATTGCGCGCCACCGCCGCGGAGTACTAACCTAACCTATGGCGTCAACCGCACGGGCGGCCGGTAGCGTGTGTCGCCGTTCCGCGCCGCGTGAAATAAAACCCGTCGCCCGTTATGATCTTGGATGTCGGTAATTATACGCCGCGGACGGAGCCCCGGGGCACGGCGCAGAGGCCCGTCGTGTAGACGACAGCCCCGCGATTTGCCGGTCGGGGTCCGTGCGACAGCGACGCCGCGATCGGCCGATCGATTTTCGGTTACCGAAGCGACCGAACCGAGGACACGGTTCCGTTGGCCGGCCCGGCGCTGATGTCGTAACCGCGGCCATAGATACTACGGTTGCGTACACGGCCTATAATCATGGATAATAAAGGCCACTTCCATAACAATTGTATGGGTGACGATGTTCCCGGAGGGGCGGTAAACGGAGGCGATTTATCATTCATCGCTGTATAGACAAAACGCCTCATTTTATGAAACTTGGAGTAACCGTACCCGTCTCTCTTGCAACACCGATAAGGTATGGATAGCATATCCATATATCTTTATTATCTATGCCTATAGTGTGCTGCAGGAAAAACACGGCACGAAAATGTTGTTATCAAATTTTACGAAAACCTGCGGCTCGCTACAAGAGTTCCTCCCCCCTCCCTAGTGGATGATATTTATTTATCGATTTATCATTGGTATTACTATCGTTCTATTAACGTCCGCCAGGGCGCTGGCAGCGAGCAAGTTTTTGTCATTATTGATAAGACCGTTATATAGACGCCAATTTGGTCGAGGAACGTTGCGCAACCGATCCACCTATCTATAGCCGTGACAATAACTAAGTGACCGGCGATTGCCAACGGTATTTAAGGTTATTCCAGAGTGGGTACATTTATCGAGTGTCCGATACCCGAGGTCGTCCGTTTGTCCAACACGGGAGCATACGGATATAGTTTCAAACAAAATATTTTGCCCGTATAGCGTAATATGATCTAATGTTATGAACGTTACGATACGCACGTACTATCAACATGAGTGCGTTATCTCCGATTCGTCGTCCGATACACGAAACCCTAACCCGTTTGTCCATAGCGTCAATATACTGGGGGACCAAAGATGACCGTCGTCGTTTCGCCCAGACTAAATCGATTTAAAATTACGTTGGCAACGGTCGTTAAGGTACGTAAATTACGTTATAATATTTGAGTATCATTTTTTCTTTGAATTGTGTTTGCGTCTTTTGATACTTTCGGTAGGTATTTCAATCGCTATTGATTTGTATGTAAGTACCAGTTTGGACGTAATTCCGTTCAACATTTAACCATCTCAGTATGGATGGAGAATTATAATAAAAACGGTCATTAAAGAACGAACGGAACGACTCGTCGTACGCATTAGTCGTAAGCCGTATATTCGCTGAACTGCGTGCCCATAAACTAGGAGTAAACGCGTACTATCCTCTACAGAAATATAATTAAACAATCACAAATACTTAATAACTCTATCGTCAGTCGGGCATTCCGGCATCAGCAACACACTTCACGGGGTTCTATATAAATTTAATATCCCAAAAGTGTATTTAATCCATTTACCAATATCTGTATTATTTTAATCTATTCTGTAGCTAAACCGTACTTCTGAACATTTCGAAACTACGACTGCAGTGTTAAGTGAAAACGACTTACAAAATTTTTTGATAGAGGCCAGATTTCAATAACAGCTGTGTGTTCACCAGTCAGTTCATAGGCAATAGTTATATTATATACTTAGGCGATGGTGCAGTGTGTTGATAAATTCGTAGGTATCGTTTTTCTTGGCGTTCGCTAAACGATGTTAAATATTACAGATAATGTACAATATTTGACTGGACCGTTGCTCCACAGCTCCGAAGAAGTCAGCGTCTCGAGTGTGTAATAACCTAAACGATCGAGTCGATGAAAAAAATAATCGTAAGTATCGAAGTCGGCGTTTATTGTTATTGTGAAAGAGAACTATACGCGACACATGCATTTGTTTTTCCGTCTTACGAACACACAACATATTTAAAATACGCTTACCCAGACACTATACAAAACAATCCAGAGGGTAAATCACTGATGAATATTATGTACACCAGACTCCATAATATTATAATTTTCCCAACGATTACCAAAATTTCCCGTAAGATTACCAAAGATTTCCACGATTACTAAATAATGTACACTGATTTCTATTAGTGATTAATTATCCTCTGCAAAACTCGCTTGATTTCGGTTTTAAAGTAAAAACACCTTTTGTGAAATTAATAAATTATACAAGAAAACGATTTTCCGGGGGGACAAGATGTTGCATTTTTTTTTTTTTTTTTAGAAGTTTTAGTTTTGAAATGAAAATTGAGAATGAAATTTAATTTGAAAAATTGGACAGAAAATGGAAAAACGCAACGTCTCGCCCTCCTTCGTTCTCTATTAATTTCACAATATAGGTGCTTTTCTTATTCTCTAAAACCAAAACTTAGCGAGTTGTGCGTATAGTCTGGCGTATAGCGTGCGGTGTATATCTACATCGGATGTTCATAAGACGGAAACGCACACTATGTAGCGTTCTCTTGACGACACGTTCGTAATATATACCGGGTGAAACACATAACAAGAGCGACCGGGTTTTATACTTTGCGTGCGGAATGTCGTTCGTTCACGTCGTCCAGCATTACGAAATCGACAAGGGGACCGACCGCTGGGGCCGAAGGTCAGAGAAAAAAAACCGAAAAAAAAAATTCAGTCCTCGGGCCGATAACGATCGTCGAAACGCACGTGTCTGCGAATTAACGAGTTACGGTCGGTCGGCACTAGGCGCGTTTTTATACGCGCACGCGATCTCGAGCGGTTTTCCTGGTGCCGTTTAATAAATTATAATATAATGGGTTTATTTAGGTATACCTACTCGTCACACTGTTATAATAATAATATTATTTTTTTTTATCTTTTGCTCCGGATCCCGCGATTACGAAATCATCATTATTATCGTATAGCTCAGAGATCGACCGACGACCTGCCCCGCGATCTCGTAATACGAGACGATAAATTCGGAACCGGGGAGACCTTATACAAGGTACGCGCATGGGGCGCATATGAGTTCCCGCACGGGATATAACCGGTGAATATCGCCCGTGATGAGTAGGTACGTAAGTTCCGACACGAATAAAAATTATAACGTAGGAATGTAACGAAATATTTCCTTCCCGCTTTATTCGGATTTGTCGCCGACGAAACTCAGTCAGAACTATAACTATCACTAGCCCAATTACTCGGGAGGGGGGAAACGTATACTATTATCCTCTATTATGTGATAATATCCTCAAAACTTCTAATCACGGATTAAGAAATGGCGAGCCAAATGATATATAATACGTTCCAGCCGCTTTGCCAATTGTAACGTTATTGTTTACCGTCTTAGTAGCCCGGAAAATATCAATTCCCAGCGTGTGATTCTTCTATAAAAAAAAAAAAAACTATCAAACTGATGTATACCTATATATAGTTTTTTTTTTCAAGATGCCAGCAAATCCTAAAATACAATTTCCGTTTGAATTATAAACGTATACTGTTAAATAATATACTTGTTTCGCGGGAACCGTGCAGGCTATAACGGGAATATTAACGAAATCGATGTAATCGCCTTTGTTCGAAATTTTCAAAACGAGGACGTAGCTGTCATGGGTGGTATAATAAGCACGGTAAAAAGATATGCCAATACGGGTTATTATATTCTCGTTTCATTGTTATCGAAAATCCCCCTTATCCCCTACGCCCACGATTCAAGGTAAAAAGCGTATTTAGCCTCGCTCCCCCGAATTCAAAATCTCGGGTACTCCATTGTCTAACCCCTCTGGTGCGTTTTCGTTTTTCACGCGCGCAATGCATGACGTTGACGGAAAGAGACTGTCACGGCCGTTTTAACGGACAATAAATAAGTCGTCGGGCGCTGTAGTATTATAGTAGTACTAAGTAGAAAATTTTTTTTTTTTGTTTTTTTTTTTCCTTTAGTGGTAAGTAGTTTAGGCGGCCACGAAATTAGAATTGCCCGTCCGCTGGCAATTATACACACTGACGGTTGCGATGAAAAATAAGCTTCTCGTTTCCCGACCGAGACAATATGTTGAACTCGGTCCAAATAGTAAAAATCCTATACCGAACATTAACAACCCGAAAGTGGATGATGATCTCATATATTATTCACATCAATCACTTGCCGTAAACTCCGCACTCCAGTACTCTGTCGCCGGTGTACAGAGTTCCAGACATAATAATAATAATATGTACAGGGCGACTGTATTTCACCCGCATATAATCGATTGTCTATCTACGAAGATTTTGGGGTTTTTTTTTTCGGTCGAATCGTTTTATTTTCGAATTTCTAATCGTAAAGAGAAATAACAATCTCTTTTAGAATACGCGTTGAAAAATGTGCTATTTGAACTCGTATAGGTCATACCCAGGATTACGTCCAAATCTGTTATTATTATAGTAATGCCCTATTTTTGTTTGAGGTTATTTCGCAAAGTATTTCTGCGTATATACTTAATAGGTGTCGAGTTTGTAGCGCAAACGTGCAATGGTTAGCTTATAGGCTGTTTTATCAGTCAATAATAGACGTTTTCAGTGCTGAATAATTTATACGTATATATTTTTCTTGCTATATTTTAACGCGACCAATTATACGCAGGGAGAAACTAAACCCCTTAAAGCCTCCCGTCCGTGGATACGATAACGCTGTGGGGGACAATGTTTATGGGGGGGAGGGGGTTTTAAAATCGAATTCACTCGAAATCTCCGTAAATATAGTTACGGTTTTCACTCTGTATATTAGATAATAGGTATTATTATCCGGGGCTGGCGCCCGGACGGAAATTTGGCAGACGCGTATTAATGGCCGCGTGTCGTTTCGCATAAATTCTACGTGGCGGCGATGTGAAGTGACTCGTGTCAATCAAATTGAATAATACATAGTATTATTATGGGATTCATGGACGACAGAGACGTCATCTAGCCGGTATATACCTACGCTAATGTACAAATAAATGACGTTCTCTCGTCTGGTTATTACCAAATTACCATTACAAAAACGTAGTAAACGAATATTATTGTAATTACTTTTTTTTTTCCCGCACGGCTAATTATTATCCTCGGTCAACCGGTCTAACGGTGTGTCGTATGACGTTTTCATATCATAGTATTACAATATTTCAGTATTGTTTGAAAATAACGAAATACGACTGCAGGTAGGTCCGGAGTCGATATGTACGCGTTTAAAACACTGTTGTCGTTTCGACGGAAAGCTACGCAGTCTTTAATATTTCGTTAAAAACTTTTAATTTTTTTTTTTTTTTATTCGTATTCAATTATTTCAAACCGTATTGAATCGAACAGTTTTGGTTCCGGAATGAAACAAACATTGTTTTTACAACGTTGTGTGTTGTTTTTTTTTCCGTGTGTACGATTTTTTTGGGTGTTGTAATGATCCAATACGTTCGCACAGTAACGTTTTAAAGCTTGCAAACCGAAGTTATACTGTAGTGGTCTGACCTTTATTAAACAAATATAAACTAAATATTTTTCTATATTTGGTTGCGAACTAGCCATCGTGTAACTGTAACGACGATTTATGACTTTAAGTAGAAAAAATGTCGGATTTCTTCTATACACGTACGTACATTTTTCCGCCTATCCTACGTTTCTCCCAATTATTATACGAAAACCGCTTGACAAATCGAAAAATGAAGTACCGCCCGGTTAAACCTTCCTTTCAGAAAAGGTACTACACTTGATACATCGGAGCAAGATTTCTAGTATAAAAAAGTCGCTCCCAGAATAAGAAAATAAAAATAAAAAATAAACACTTTTGTAAAATCGCTCAGATTCTAACAACAATAATAATAATGTCGCGGTATATCAAGGGAACAGCGTTTAGCGATCATTATTACTACAATACAGAATTGATATTACATTTTTTTTTCGTGAAAATAACCATCTATAGTTACGATATTGTTACTAGGTAGACGATGACGATGATACATTCTACAATCTCGGACGAGATAAAAATAAGTGTTCTATAAATATTGACGTATAAAATTATAAAAAAAAAAAAAACACTATTCTTAGAATTGACTATATTGACTCTTCTGATTTATCGTGTACACACAGTTTGTACGCATTTTTGTCGGATTAGTCATTTACACGCGTTATTAATATTCTACCGGGCGTCTATACCGTCGACATCAAAACCCGTAATGATGTTAATTAATTGCATTATGATTATGCAATAATGTACCGAACGCCTATATCGGTGAAAATCGTTAATCGGATTAAAGTCGATACGATATTTTCTACAGGTTAAACGCGATTAACAATATATAGGCATATAATTATTGCACCGCCTATATTAAGTTTAACGCAAACGTACATTATGTATAAATCGAGTTTAAAAATAATTATCACGAAAACCGTAACATCAGACGTTATACTAAACCATCTGTTATTTTATGCTAACCGGTCGGTGTTGATTAAAAAAAAATAAAATAAAAACAGTAACATGTTAGTTTAGATCCGGAACGTATAGCGAGTATTTAAAAATATTTTTTTAGACATTTTTTCCAACAGAAATTTCGCTCCGATTTTCAAGTGAAGCACATTTGTTGAAAGGAAATCCGACTGTATAGGTGGGTGGTACTTTAGCGGGGTCGTCTTTTGATTTTCCCAGCTGTTTTTATAATAAACGGAAAAACCGGAAAATTTACGAAAGTATTATTTTCTAAACGTAAATATTGCGGCCTTTTAAAACATGTACAACCGAACCTCGTTCAAAGTCGTTTTTCGTCAGCAAAGATTAATCGTTGCGTACGGATATACATTAAATTCAACTCTATATCCTATATACTATAGTATGTACCTTCCGACTTCTCACCTACAACAGTGGCTCGTCCATCGTGCGCGAAGTCCGTATCTTTTTTTCGAATTAAGTTGTATTATATGGAAATAACCGATTTTTCCGTTCGCATTTTCACCAATGCAATAAGAGATTTTCACGAAAACGTGTCGCCTCTATTAGTTCATATAAACAATATCACACAATGGCAATTGATGAATATTATAAAAAAATAATAGGGCGCTCGATTATTATTGTATTATTGTTGTACAGGTATATTTTCCGGATTAAACGAATTATCAAAAAAAAAAATATAACGATTTTAAAAACACAATTATTATAACATTATTAATATTTCGTTTCACTCGCTTTGGTATAAATTCGTCGCGATTTCTATACGAGCCGGGGGAGAACCGCTAAATACTTTCGCTTAAAACGTTTGCGTTGCAAATCGTTCGCGCGGTTTTAAACCGTCTGTATAAATGGCGGGTAATAATAATAATATCATTTATTTTTCGCTTTTTCTAATGCCTTTTGACCTTTTGGAAAATGATTAGGAAAAATTATAATGCGTTCTCCTGCGTAAGACTCTCCTTTCCAAAGACATTTAACCACGTATGTACGCGTAATATCTTATAGTGTTATTATTATTATGTTACGTTCGGTCGTAATTTCCGAGCGCAAATCTTCGCCGAGAAGGTTTAAAAAAAAAAACGACCGCCGTTATTATTATTAAAGTTTAGAATAACGTATTTTTACGAACGTATAAAACGCCCGTAAATTCCGCTTATACACTCGTATTTTATGAATCGTTTTGTTCCCTAAACGCAATATAACGTCTAAAAATATTATCCAATGAAAAACGGCCCGCGCCAGTGTAATGTGCACGCTGGTATAATAATATAATGTTAATACGGGGTTCCTTAAGTGCTTTTTACCGACGTAAAAAGCCGTAGACAAACGTAGACTGCAACGCCGCGTAAACATAATATCTCTACGGTTTATCGCGTAGGCCGAAGACCTGGACGCCGTTCATAAATAATATTTTTTTGTAGTCCCTATACCTATATCTATTCGTATAATAATACGATTATGAATTGTCATTGGATTTTCGTCGGGATCGAGTTTATATCGGCGCCCGTCCGCGTGTGTTCCTCGTGTTTTTATAGGCACGACGAGATTTTATCGATTTTAAATCGCCGGGAGGATGCAATTATTAGCGACGTTCCGCGGGCACGTTTTGATTTTCACAAATCCGCGCCTCATTATAACTGCAGGTGTGAGCACGGGAAGGATTTATATCCACTCAAAGACCACAATGAGTTTTGCTAAAGGCGTCTCCGAACCAGTCGATGTCAATCAACATTCAACATATTTGGGTCGGCCGAAAACCTTAAAAAAAAACCACTTCGGCACGGCGTTTCAGTCGTATATTGTATCGTAATAAAACGATATCGTCCGATTATGATGTGGTCGCGTACGGGGCGATTTGACCTATAGTTTTGCCGCGATCGTACACGTCAGCGCGTAATACGTTTACCGGGTGGCCGGTCCGACTGAATAGGTATTGCGATTTGCACAACTGACACGCGGCAAATGCTATTAATTCCGATTGGCGCGTTTCGAATACGACGTCGCGGGGCACCTATGCCGCCGATGAGAAAAATCCAAGGTAAATAAAATATTATTATCACGCGGTTTACGTGCGGGATAGCTCGATTAAAACGTAAAATCGTACACGATAATATTATATCATAGTTACCATGTTATAATATTTTATGGTTTCATTGTTCCGTCGTCGTATCTTTATATTAGTATAACGATCGTAAAGTATTTAATCGTTTATTAGTAGAAAAAAAAAATAAATAAATACTCGGTTCTACAGTACATTATAAACTATCGGCGCATTTTTGTATTTTATTGTAACGACTTTGTCGCTATTTATATAAAGGGCATCCCAAAAGAACGTTTTTTTACAATTGGCCACAAAAAAAAAAAAAAATTATTTTTCAAACAAATACAAAATAGGACTTGAACAGTTTCTTCAGTATGACTTCCGGTTTACGTATGAAAAATAATTTCATTCAAATGACCTCCCTCGGGTTTGTTGACAGGCTGACAAATGCGCAAGAAAATTAGCAACAACCGCCTCACAGTTCTCCCTGGTGAGTTTCGCAGTCTGCACACGTTAAATTTCTTCTTTCAAATCATTTGTGGTTCTCGGTTTCTGGGAATTTTTCACCAGCCGACGAACTGATGAATCAAAAGCAGCGTCCCGTCCGAGTAAGGTACAAAGTCGTCGCGCAGTCTCCGCACTTCACTTTCGTTGGATCGCTAAAAGGTCTTAACCTAACCAACACGCGTGTTTCAGCTGATGTTCGGTGCATGGTGACACTTCAACGAAAACCGATTACACAACGACCGTAATGGCATTAGTTAACAAAAGTTTGATATTAAGGGAGATGAGTTTATTAGAGATTAGAGGTTTGAGGATACGTATACGGTTGTTAAGAGAGATAGTCCAAATTTAACCAATTTAAAAAAAAACGTGTATTTTTTGGGACACCCAATATAAGCTGTTTATATGAATTTGATAAGCATTTGGACGTGATTATGCGTGGCGTTTGTCGGATAAAACCAAAAAAAAAAAAATACCCCGTCAATATCGCGCGAGTTAAAATTAAACTTCATCGTTCTTCAAGCGATCGCCTTGCGATTTGTCATTCGAATTTGTAAGAAGTCTCCGTACGACAGCGGATGACTATACAATTATAACACGATGTCATATCGTTGATTTATTTCGATTTTCGAATATTAATAATAATTCACCGCGACACGAATTATACCCGTATAATATTATCGGGCGTCGACTCGGTGTTCATAGTAATTATCGACATTATCGCGTGACAAGTACTATCAAGTCCGTCGATCGTCTCCGTCCGTACAAAGACTTCTGGGTTACAATCGCGATTATCGATTTAATATGGTCGCCTGTCGAGTGATGAGATCGGTACCGCAAGGACAATATTTTTTAATTGTTACACTCGTATTGTGTAATACAAAATAATAAGTCGATACGCTTATAGTTTATAAGTAGTCCATGAAAGGCGATGACGAATTATAGACTTAGTAGCGTGCGCAAACGGAGAGGAAGGTTATAGGTTAACCCCTCGCATTGGTTTTAAAAAAAAAAAAAAACGAAAAATACGAATAATCTAATAATCGAAATGCGCATATGTTAGTCAAGTTGCGAAGAAAAGCTCGATGAAAAATTGGTTTTTTTTTTTAGAATCCGGCTTTTGAATTAATAATTCTCATAGGTAATCGAGTTGTGTAGAGAAGACGGTTTTACGATTTATTTCGAATTCTTATTTGCTTCATCCCCTCCCGTTGAAAATGGTCGAGCATGCCACTGACTACAGTGTTCTCGTCGCTGAAAATCAACATTAATCAGTATCCGCAATTTGTTTCCTTATCACGGTTCGACGGGCATCCTGTCTGTCTATAACCCCGTAGTTGCAAGTGATGTTATACCCTATGGACTGAGCGGTAAGCAGCCTAACGACGTTCGAAACAATTTTTTTGAAAATAAAGTGATTCCGATCTTTATTGACGGGTTTTGTACCGCTTACAGGCCACTGTTGTAGGCACAGAATAACAAACGAAAGACGATTATTTTCGGTTAATCATTTGTCACGAAACGTCGTGATTTACGGTTTACATCGAAATTTCAACAATATAAAGGCTTATCTTTACAACTCGTGTTTTATGGCGAACCTTGTGTAAAATCGTTGACGAGTTTTAAAAAATCCAAGACGTATATGATAGTGTTTTTCATTGGATTATAATACGTAGCACTATGTGGCACCGCAGCTATATAATTTATAATGGTTTTTTTCCCCCATCGGAATAACGGTTAGTACTATTCGTAAATTATTATACAGCCCCGACGTATACGAAACGAGAACTTCTAAAAATATACTCTGCAGTATAATATTGTATTTTTTTTTTATCCCAAGTCGGGATCTTGTATGCTCTGCCGTTACAAAACATATTCTGTTGAGTATTAGAGGTCCTATACTCGTATACTATATTAAATGGGTTCGTCGTCGAGAAACGTGTTGGTTTTAAATTCCCGAAAAATAAACGTTAACGCGGGGCGTTATGGTTTTAAGTATATCGTTTCATTCGTGAGACGGCGACGTATTAGAAGTGCAGGAAAATATAAGGAAAACAATATTACTACCGAAACACAATGGGTCTGGCGTTTCGTGGGATTCTGCAGTGGCGCCAGTCCTACGCGTAACATTTTAACGTTTCGAAGAGATGTTTAAAAAAAAAAAATAATAATAATAAATATGTACAAGTATAACTATTTGCCCTCTTCTCAAAGCCTACGGAGTTGTTTTGAAGTACGCATTATTTCGTAAACAAATTCACCCTAATTTATATACGGTTCGTAAGTATTGTACAGAGTGATCCGTTTAACGCGTGTCAGCGATTTTCTCGGAGGATTGGTAAATTAATTTAATTTCTGTTTTTTTCTTTTCGTTTCGTTATGTATATAATCGTTCAAGTTTTATTTTTCAACACTATTTTAAATTCGTTCCCCTACTCCCTGTACGCTTTAAATTAATAGTATGCGCTTTAGGACCGTATTAAAGCGTGGGCATGATATATGTTCGTATTCTAAAATCAAAAGAACGTATACTCGTTTAAGGCTCCGTTTACAAGGAGCAGCGGTAAAATTATATCGAAAATAGGGATAAAAAATAAACCTCTCACGATTCCGTAATGATTGAAATGTCTGCTGCAGAAATCAAAATATACTTAAAATCTTCCGATGAAATAGTTGGTTCACGGAGGTAAATGAATCACTCTGTATTATGTTAGTACGCATAACATAACCCTTATGTATGTGTATATTGAGGAGAACCTCGGAGTATTTAATATTTTCGAAAATAATTGCTATCGCTCGGTTATTCGGTATTTTGACGATTCACGTAATTTTTAATAAGAGCGAACGTCCTTTATAATATGTGTATTCCAGGGTTTTATTACTATTTGAACCGTCAACCGAATAAATACAGGCCTCTTAAAACGCATTGAAAATATGGTAATCGGCGATTTTATACATTTTTTATTTACTTGGCTACTATGTATATATTACATATACGTATATTATTACTGTCTATACTGCCTACACTACAAAACACTGTTCATCATTGTGGGATTTCAGTTTTTAATTCTGTTTACTTATATTCGTATCTACTATAGAATTTTCAAAATTGTTTAACGCCGAGGAATATTATAATAATACGCTATGAAAAAAAATGATTATCATTTTTTTTTTTTTTTCTTACGGTGGTTTTTAGTTTGCTTCGCGCGTAGTTTTGACAATGGTTATTTAAATTACGTTTCCAGAAGGGTAATCTGGTGTCTTGGGTATACAAGAAAGATAATATAATATAATACTGTAAAGTGGGTTGGTGACGGCAGGAAACGTGGGACGTACCGGAAACGCGATGGCTTGTGTGTGTGTGTTCACGTCTTCGGCTGCTCCTATATTACAATATTATCAGTGTTGCCAAATCATTTTCATTAATAAATTATATAGAGCTTTATTTCTTTTTCGTTTTTGCGAAATTATCACGCGCGTTTATGCGCATTTAAAATATTAAATACCTATACATGATCAGACGATTGAGTTGGCCGATAGTAAACCGTACGCACGTTCTCATATAATCACATTTTTCCGAGAACGAAAACTATTGGAATAGGGTTTTTATCGTGACAATGACGAACACCGAAATGAGATAAGTATTTCGAAACTGTCATCAGAAAATTAGGATTTTTGTTGTTATATCTAAATTTGTTTTTAGATTCTGAGTGCAGCGAAGAATGTACTGGTTTTACAAAGATGTTTATTTTTTTTATTTTTTAAGTATGCACTTTTTCTACCAGAAAGCTTACTTCGATATGTATACGATGTAGACTTTTTTCTAAAAGGAAATTCTCTTAGGGTGGTAATTTAGGAAGGTAATTTTTCGATTTTCCCAAGAGTTTTTACAGCAAATATGAAAACCCGGGAAAAAACATGGGAAAACATAAAAAAAACGGGAAAATCGGTACAATATTTAACAAATATTATTGAAGAAATTATATAATTTCTATTTATAATTATTTTACCATAATATATGAGACATATTTTTCTAGGAACATGTGTAGTTTTAGCCTACTCAAACTAATAAAACCTAACCTCATCCGAGTATATTATGTCCGGTTTTGTTTGAAAACGTTAGTCGATCGACGCTTAAAATTATTAACGTTATAATAAAGTCGAGAATTGGATACTGTATAGTGTGCACGACCGTATTTACAGGTCGTTAGAAAAAAAAAAAAACTGAGTTCGAGTTTGTGATTTTTATTTTGTAAACATTCCGAGAGCGTATATTTAAATGCACGAATGCGAAGAATGCTAATTCGTGATATCTGAGAGATTATAATAATATTGTTATTATCAATTTTTTTTTTATCAGATGCATTAAGAGTGCTATGCAAATACGTAGTTAAAATAAATGGCATTTATTGCGTTTACATTCGCGAAGGAATTTTTTTTATGTTTTTCCGTCGCAAAACTCTCAGTATGTTTAGAAAAAAAAAAACGAATAGTTGATTATCAGATACCCGAGATACCGTGTCGTGTACGGTCGAGACACGTGTGTGTAACTTACCGACACTGGAGAATCGTGGACAAAGACATCAGATTGGTACAAGTCGAAGTACCTATACGAGTTTATCTTGGTATTATCGGAGTTGGGGAAGTGGGAGGGGGAGTGTTTTTATCACGCTTTTTGCAAGTATACGTTTGAGCAACACGAACAAAATGTAATTTATTATTTCGACGATTTTTACATTATAGTATTTTTAATTTGGTGTTTTAACAATATTTTCGAACAATATAACTTTGTAACAACAAAGTTTGCTTTCTCCTAGTCTGTCTCGTCGCCCATAATAGGTTGCGCAACACAGAGTTCCGTACGATTATTAATCTTCGGTTGAGTTTGGGTCAAAGGCATCTATTATATACAATATCGATTTTTATAAAAAAGAGTATTTTATTAATATGGATGCTAAGAATGTTTTTTTCCCCTTCAATATGTTCGATTCTATATAAGTTATTAACGGTTCGAAAATCACGTTCAATCAACATGCGCGTATATTATTCTGATAAATGATCATAATCGAATTCTCTGTGTAGTCATAAAAAACAAAAAAATAAATTTAGTTTTCTGTCAACGGAAATATTGAGTATCTGCATAACTATCAAAGTTTTTTTTTTGTTTTACTGTACCGATTAAAAAACAACATATATTCATATAAAAAGGTCGAATAAAACAATCGTTCTAAGACTTCCTCGTAAATACGATAAATTAAAAAACTTGCAATATTAATGTATGCGTGACGCATATATGATATTTATTTTTCTCTCTTGTTAACCACATTTAGATAACCGCTGCGGGAATAATTTTCGTTCGATAATCCGACAATGTGATTAATAATAATTACTTAAAACAAAAAAAAATAAAAATAAAATATGTTTTGTTTGTATGTGTTTGTCTGTTTTTTCTGAGTTCGTATAATATTATTGTGGGGTACGTGCATCATTCTTTCAATTAAATATTAAGAATTACATCAGTGCAGCTATATATAATAATATTTTGATTGTCGTATTGTATATTATTTATTTGTATCGATCGGAATGTATTTTTTTTTTTATAATCATTTTTGTCGTGTTATATACACTGACTTATTTGTGTCCGTCAATTGAAAATACCGAACGTATCTTAAATCCGTTAGTTATTGATAAATGATTGACATTAATCTTAATTTCGATTAAACATAGGGGATAAGTAAACTTATTTCTAGTTATTAAAAATCATTCGTAATAAATGCATATCACAAAGATAAAAATATTGTCGGACACTCGTACTGCTATAATAGTTACCAAGACAGTCAACGATAAAACACTCTGGCGGAAACATTAAGTCGAATCGACTTGTTCGAATAAACCGCATGAATATAATAAATTCGTGAACAAATATTGATTTTTGTTTTAAACCATTTGTTTGTACTAAATAGTTATTATGACCAATGTTATTATCAAGCAATCGAAATCGTTCTGAAACAAACCGTAGCCAAAAAACGAATTATATTTCGTTTCAAATCAAACGGAATCTTATCGCTTTAATTTTGTTCGCGATTTCCCACCAACGATAATCTCCGTGTTTTCAGTTTCCCATGTTTGTAAAATTAGTACTTTCTTACAAAAACGAACACGCGTATTTTATAGTACCAAGTCTCGACGACGAGACCAAAAAATCGCTCTTATATTGAGAATGAAAATATTGTAATTAAAACAATATAATAATTATCGTGCATAGAAAATTACGCATAGACAGGTGGAAAATCCATAAAACTTAATTAAAATAACAATTAAGAGATTATAATAATTTGACGGGAAAAAAAATGTTATTCTTACGTTCGTGTGATACACGATATCATAATCGAGCCTAAAATATAATGACACGTTATTAATTCTGTTGTGTTTGCGATTGAAATCGGTTTATTATTTTTATTTTTTTTTTACCGCGGGACCGTTCGATAAAAACGATAATTGAACAAATATGTTCTCACGGGCGCATCGCGTATACCTTATAGCACAATTTCTAGCTTTATAACCCTATACAGCTATAGACTTATATTGTAAGAGACAATACGCATTATTATCATATTTAAAACGCATTAACGTTTTCGGTACTTGCGTTTCAAGAGTAGGTATATAGGCATTGTTTTTTTTTTCTCTCAACCGAAGGACGTAATATTATTTTATAAACGGTTTTTAAACGCGATAATACTATTCGCGATATGTTTAATGAACCATTAAAATCCGTTTCGTGTGAAACGCCACCGACAGACAGCAAGTATAGATATGTAGGTAGGTGTATAATATTATAACGAACTAACGTCGTTATTACTATAAAATATTATTATAACGAGTGGGTACACACATATTGTTATAATTCACAATAAGTATAGTAACGAATCTCAAGAATTCCCTTTGAAGAACCATTGTTTAAGCGTATGCGGTTCTACGAAACAAAAAAAAAATAATAATAAATAAATAACGAACGATCATTATATTTTAAACAAATGAAAACCGTATGCTTTATTATGCGCACGCGCGCAAATCAATTCGATTTCAAATCAAGTCGTATCCGGTACGACTTGAAGAATTTCTAAACGTCGTCGCGGTGGGTTTCGGGCGAGGCAAAGGAAAACCTAAAAAAAAATCTATAACCTAATCTGATCTTACGAGACACCAAAGGCGCAAGGCAGAAGATCGGCGACAATAACAAGGCGTTAGAGCGTTTAAAGAAAGAAAAACGAGAGTACTTTAACGTCACTGGTTTTCGAACGAGAAAATCGGTCATGACCGTTTCATACGAATTTAAGTCATAATAATAATATTATTATGATGTGTTATTCGTTCGACATTTATACTAGTATATGGAAGTAATGAAAAAAAATTACATATTTTCGTTAAATTTAGGCTTTGTACGTTGACCGTCCAATACAATTTTATTATATCTACGGATATCCTTTAAAAATGAAAAAAAATACAACTAATATAATGTTCACAAAAGTCATTATTTTATACACAATTTAAAATACCAGGTACTGCATAGGAATACGCATACATTATAGGATTTAATATACAAAAAGTCGAAATATGCCGATTACAATTCTATAATATATCGAGCACAGGACGTGTGGATGATAAATACGATTTTATCAATGAATAAATCCGTAACCGTCGAAAATTGTTTTTTTATTTTGTGAACCGAAAAAACGCGTGCTCTCAATGCACATAATGATAATATATTAGTTTGTACACTTCTAAAACGCGATAAAAAAAAATATTCGAACCGTTGAAATATTTCGTATTTTAAATTCGGAGCGAGGAATGTATTGGTTTTACAATGATGTTTATTTTATTTTTTTTATATGTAAACAGCTTTTCTACCAGACATCTTTCTGTCAGACTCCGATTTTCAAGTGTAGTACCTTTTCTGAAATTAAATTTTATCTGGGTGGCACTTTTTAGGGAGGTAATTTTTGATTTTCCCAGCTATTTTCATAACAATTGGGCAAAATGTAGGGAAAATGGGAAAATGCACGTACACGTATAAAAAAAACTTCGCCCTGAATCGGTTTTTTGTTAACAATAATGATTTATCGTTTCGTACAACTGATATAATTTAAATTTCCTTCTATATCCTACCTGCCCAACTTTTAACCTACAACAGTTAGTAGTGGCCCATCCACCGTGCGAAGTATGTCCGTCTTCTTTTATACAATAATATTTATCATTTTCCCAGTGACTTATCAACAAAAAACAAAATTGAAACATATATTATTATTTCATCCATTTTGAAATACTAAAAATATACTTATTTCGTGAAATTTTCAAATACTTATAACAATAAGTGACGTTTTATATTCGATCCGATTGTATTTTCATAATAATATTATTTTACGTATTCGTTCGGACCGCGTTCGAAGTTTTCCCATCCGTATTCTGTAATTTTATTGATCCTTACGTTTTTTTTCATGGACGGTTTTTAATACATTCGTTTTATACGGTGTACCGAACGCGTCAGATATCATGTATATAAAAAAAAAAACTTTTTTGTTTTGCGCAAAATTTCGTGTTGATGAACTCCGACGGGGACGGCACGTTAGTTCGTTAATTATTATACTGTGGCCATCGTAACGTTAACTTTTGTATGCCATTATAATATACGACACGCACATAACAGATATTATAATAATAATTTGCATGGTATGTATTATTTATTAAATGCTAATTGTAATATTTTTTTGGACGAAAACCCGCTTGGTTGAAAAAAAAATGTTAATATCATATTGTTATACAGAGCGATTTGATGAGTACGATTAGACCAAAAAAAAAGAATGCAATTACGTATTTTGTATAGTTCAATGTGTTTTTTCTTCTATTTTAAGGGAGTCACATATTAAAATTATTTTACTATAACTAAAAAGGACGGACATACTTCGCACGTGAGTGCAGACACTGTTTTAAGTGGGAAGTTGGAAAGGTAGATGGTAATTTAATGTACATCTGTAATTAACGATAAACAATTGCTAACGAAAAAATGATTCTGAGCGAAGTTCAGTTGATAGCGTTGCTTTGTTAACAATACAATATATGGTATTATGTCATACTATGGTAAAATTATTACAACAATGTGCGTTTCCATGACAGCAAAGATTATTTGAAAAAGATTAAAATAATAACAAAAAATGATCTCTTCAAAGTACCACCCAGAAAATGTGTTGACATAAAAAAAAATAAACATCTGTGTAAAACCAATACATTCTTTGTTAAACTCAAAATCTAAAATAAATACCATAAAAAAACCTAACGTTATTAATTTCTATTTTTTCAAACTCCCTCCCTTCGGAAAATTATTTCTCTCGGCCGCCCTTAATCACCTTGAATATATATATACTCGTATATATGTTACGGTTTATGTTAAAAATTGGATAGTGTCAACATTTCGTTCATTATATCTGATTTTATGCTGTGATGTTTTAATATGAAACTGACTATCAAACTTAAGAACATTATTGTCTCTGTGTTTGTACGTCGGTATTTTATCGATGCCTTAATTTCCAAGCCAGATACGAGCGTGCAAAATATTAGAGCTTAAAAATCACGTTCTTACCTATTCATGTTTGATAATTCGCTTTTGCGTATTAAAATTGAACAGCTCAAAATCGGTTCTATTGAACGAAAATTTGACATTATATCGAATTTTTAACATTTAGCCTAAACAGTTGCGAAGTGTTTTAAACAAATTCATGTGTTTGAAACGTTTCATACATACATTTTTAATTGTTTTAGACATTCAAAAATTAAATTAAAATTACTAATAATATGTTCTGAAAAGTGAAGGCATTTATTATTTATATACCTATAGTTTCTATATTCATTCTGAAAATATAAATAAAAACACTAAACAATTCCTATTATATTTTCGGATAAAGAAATAAAATTGTCTTTTGGTTTAATTGTTATTTTATTTTTAAATAGTTCCGATAAAATTCTATTTACAGTGAACTATTATTATAATATGATATTTACAAAAAATAAGGTTTAAAACCATGAATATATATGTATATTATAGTTGCACAACGAGCAATAATAATAATAATATAATGGTACCAAATTAAAAGAAGTCGTATTGTCCTAACGTCACATATTAATAATAATGTGTGTAAAAACCCCAACTCTATTTGGCTTATAGATGTAGATAAAAAACTAAACTGGTAACTAGTGATGTGACGTGCAGTTATTGTCCGCCATTATGAGTAGGTCAAATACGTGCCGAAATCCCATTAAAATTTGTATTCTCGTTTAAAATACTTGAAATGTACATTTTAGATTCAGGAATATATTGGTTTTACAATGATGTTTATTTTTTTTTCTGTGGATAAATTTTCTACCAAAAATTTTGCTCCGATTTTCAATTGTATAGCATTTTTTCCGAAAGGATATCTGACTGGAGGTCATTTTTTGATTTTCTTTGAGGTTTTCATAGTAAATAGGAAAAAACGTAGGAAAAACGGAAAATACAATACGAAATTTATTATTTTGAAATCGTAAATATTGCGGCCATTTAAAACACGGAATCGTTTTTCGTTAGCAAAGATTAATCGTCGCGTGCAGATACACTATAAATTTCCCTCTATATCTTACGTTCATAAAAGAAGACATTGTTTAATCATTTAAATTTGATCTATACTTGTGATAAATTGTGTTATAGAAATTATGACATGATAAGATACGAATGGTTTACTGTGTATAAGTAATGGCTGATAAGTGGCTCCAAACGTCAATACGGTCAGTTTATTGTAGGGAACCTAGCGACTTAGTTTATTATTATCTATATAATGGTTATTATGCGTCGTAGTAATGGTATCGGAATTCTATATAACATAACGACTGCAGTAGATGGCGCTAGGAGGACGTGACTTTTTGTAAGATAAGGAATATTCGGTACCGTTCGACGCCGCCGTGGTCCATTATACCTAGGTCGTACAGTATCCGCGCGATGTTTGAAACGTACACATTGATAATATTGTTTACGGTTTAAAAACACGTTAAAACCAAAAAGAGAAGAAACAAACGCGTCGGGCGCCTTGTAAAACGCGTACTTTATTGTTGTTTGTGTGTCTCTCCGACGCGTGTGTAGGAAATTTACGTTCTCCGATACCGTATTCCCCGACCGTTTTTTTTTTTCCTCCCATTACGTTATTTTTAATATTATCGCAAAGTCCCACTCGAGACGCGCGTTTATCGTATTACTATTATTATTATTCAACAACAACAATTTTGCGTGCGCGTTTCTGCTGCCGCTACGAGCCGCGCGGCCGACCTACCGGCCGTTCAGTATAAAGCTGACGTCCGCGCCGACACCACATGCTCTTTCCCGCGAGTGCGTTTTTATCACGTTTCGCCCCGGTCGAGTGTCTTCTGTGCGTGTAAAGTGCAAATTCGTTTTCGTTATTTATTTTTTTTTCTATCGCCCGTTTTTATTCGGTATACACGAGCAATAATAAAAGATAACAGGTTAGTGATAATATCCTCAGAGCGTATTTTCGATAAGTATATTACGATATTAAATGTTACGGTATAATCTATATAGACTGTTATATACAGCTATTGACCGGGCGATGGTTCGCTATTGCTAGGTAACTGTGCGAATATCGATAACAGTAGTTTTCTTGTCAACCGAATTGTCGTCTGTACCGCCAAGTTAACCCGCGAATAAACGAAAATAAATCAACATAAACGATTAGACTTTCGTATCAAAAATTTCTAAAAAAAAAAAACCCCAAATAATTCACACGGGAATGCGAATGGAACGTTGAAGACTATTATATCTTTTTGGTTGGACCAAATCACGCTTATCGAGCATATTGTCTCATCAAAATCGGTCGAGTAGTTTCAGAATGCATCGCACCTAAAGTCGTCGTACGCGTGATTTTTTTTTTTTATATTATAGACATTCGCTAATTTTTACGGCAAACGGTTTGACCGGATGTTGGAGAGTGTCATCGGCCCACCGAGTCTTAGGATTTTCGCAGGCCCGAAATCGTACAATATTGAAAATATGAAAATCGTCATATTACATTGTAAAATGATAAATAAATTGAATTTTTCCTCGAATTTCCTCTGTAAAAATCCCCGGATCTGTCCGATACGCCTTAAATATACAATTGTAAAAATTCGTTATTTTTTATTCATTTTTTTTTTTTTATCAACATTTGAACATCGGGTGCAGCACTTTCATATTTGATTCGATTTTTTCGTTTATTTCTCTAACCGTTTGTAATTTTACGGAATTATGACCAATCGAATTTATTTTAATGCGAGTTTTCGTTTTGTGTTTCGAACATTACTCTAATGACTACGTGGACATGAGAGTGCAGACTCGGTATCATGGCGTGTGATATAATACGCGAAAATAATACAAGATTTCGGCTTGAATACGGGAGGGGGCGGACGTCGCATAAAAAATTCTATGGTCAACAATGTTGCTCGAAAAAGGCGAGTCTGTAAAAATTGCATTGTATTTGAGTGATTTTTCACAATGCTTTGGGCAAATAATTTCAATATAAAGTAATGTGTTTGGACGACTTTAAACAATCGATTTTTTCTCTCGTTTTGACAGACTTTAGACTGTCCGTGAATTCCTCACTAAATAACTACGATCTGTTATTGGCCCGCGATTATGTGTATTGTTAGTATTTGAAATTGATAATATTTCACTGATAGTAGAATTCACTAAAACACGCGCTGTATATTTTCGATTTGTACACCGAAAACGAAACGATTCGTTTTTCAAGCGGTTAGATATTTGGGTACACCACTCGTATAATAATATTAATATTTATGAACACTACAGCGAGTTCGTGTTTCTTGCAATGTTCGAGTAAAACCGATATTATTTGTACATTATTAATTTTTAGATCAATATAATATTATTACTCATAAGGAAAATACGCGATGTTTATTATCTTATCCGATTGACGATACAGAAAAACTAATATTGTGAAATATTATTATATAATATTAACGAATATAATATTCGTTGACATTTTTAGTATGTGTGTTATTTACAATTATTTTATCTTTTATATTACACATATTGTACTTATCACTCAAACACACCATGAAGGAACTCAGTTAATTGCCCAAAGACACTGTTTTTATTATGCGGAAAAAAAGTTTATTCGCCCAAACGCACGACAGCCTCTAAGAAGGTTAAATTAGGTAAAACGATGGTTAAGCGCACACATGTGTTAGGTACACGTTTATGCGTTTTTCAGGAATCGCATTTAAAGATCACATCTGGACATAATTATTAAGGTACATACAACGACTGACCATCAGCGTTATACGACGTCATTACCGTTTGTTTATATATACCTACCTCGTCGGTGCACAAGAAAATACACTATCCGAAATGTCGATTTTAGTACATAACACGATTTTATCAAAAATTGTGTTTTACACATGCGTGCGCTTAACCGCGCTCAATCGTGTTTTACCACTCTACAGGGCACGTGCATTTGTTGTGCACACAAAATCCACAGCAAATCATAGGACATTCGAACGAATTCGGTATAACCAGTGGCGCCGAACTACGTTTTATGAAGGTGGGTGGGCAGGTGAAAAGTTGTATAGACCACCGCCCTCGTTTACAAAACAAACACCCATACAACACTCTTAATATTAATATTTAATACGTATCAATTCGACAAAAAAATATGGCTCAGGTACCCATCGTGAATCCACCGCCACCCACCCATTAAAAGGTGGGTGGTGACCGTTGATAACTGATTTTCTGCTTTTAGTTTTTAATATTAAAGTGAATTGGCCTATTCAATCAAACTTGACGGTTAGAACGTTCGTTAATCTGGGTTTTTTGTACGTTGGTTTTTTACCGATATTTTCGTTTTCAAGCGAAACGTAAGCATTTTTACTCTGTGATACTGTTTATACATGCGTATCTCGCTTAAAAATTTAAATAACGAAAACAAAACCAACAAACGCGCAAATGATATTTTACCGTTTGTATTTGATAATAGGTCAGTTTATTCTGTAACATCACGACAACTATAACGGCCCGGAATCGGTTCTCTGCAGTTGAACGCAATAATTGTTGAATACTGTCTCGAGTCTACCTAATTCGCTATACTTTGAACTTAAATAATTAAGTTTATAAACGGAAATAACGAAGCAGCGAATATTTTCGAGGGCGGTACGCGAAAAAAATTCCTGCAAAAAGTTACAACCACGGTAGTTTTTTTCACTTGAAAATAACTATAATATTTTCTATGCTAATTTTTAAGTAAAAAAAAAAATAGCTACGCATAACGCCCGACGCATATACGCTGCTCGTCTTTTCGTTTTTTTATTTGCGTTTAAATTCTAATTTAAATCTATAAGCAATAACGCCTCAATTTGTGTCGCGTATACGAATAACGTAATATTTTCTAACGTTGTTCGTTAGAGACAGTAAATATGGCCTCCTCCTCTTAATAAAATATAATAAGCACGTATATATTATATGGTTTTTTTTTTTTTTATTTACTTTTTAGTGCCGGCTATATTTTCTTTGTCACGAGCATGGCGTTTAATTAATTTCGAAATGTTTATTCGAAAAATATATATATAATTATTAACGAGGTACACTTTGCTTCGCTCTACTATTATATAATAATAATAATAATAATAGCTGTTGGCTATCGAATTTAAACGTTCATTGTTTTCGGTGGCTATCTACTTGCTCTACAGTGCATTTTTTGTATTTTTTATTATTATTATTATTATTGTAATTAATTCGTTTTACTATGGGCTTGGCGACACTATGCAGGAAAATAAACGTTTAAACAAATAAATATAGTTTTTTTTTTACGAAATTGTCTTGTTTACAGTTTTATTTCAGAAATTGTATATCGCTGTTTTTAATTAAAATTGCATACCTAATGGGAATCGCCCGACGTGTTTTTAATTGTTTTATATCGTTTCAAAAAGACCTTAAATAATAAAAATAATAAAACGGATTTTACGGACCAAGCAAAGATCTAACCTCGCTTTGAGTTTTAATTAAATCTACTATAGGTACTGATAAGAATAATGCAAATAATATTATTATTGTAATTCCAACCGAAATCACAATAAATTCGATATTCGGAAGTGTTTATGTAACGTTAGAATCAAATGCGGTGTACATTGTTTGGGAACAGCTAGACGAACGATTTTTTTTTTCTGTAGGTTTAAAACAAATTGAATTCGTCTCGCGTACAATGGGTCCAGACGAAGGCCGTGAACGTAAAAGAAAAAAGGTGTTTATTGTTTACAATAATAACTGAAAAAAAAAATTGAGTATATTATATTACTTTTGGCATTAAGGAATTATAGTAGCGCACATTCAAAATTAAATCGGGGTAGCTAGTTGAATGGTTAGCATACTAACCAGCCCCCCTTCTAAATCGTTCTCAATTAGCATATCCGCTTATTTGCTATATTTTTTAATTATTTATTTATACAATTGATTTCTTTATAATATTTAATATAATATGTGTACGGTAGTTTTAGGTCACCACTTACCATTCGCCTATAATTCTGGGGTTGCAGCTGCAATATACCCACAGAACCCTCTATAGTATGCGTCACTTTTAGAATTATAATATTGCTGTCTCTATATTTTTATTTTTTAATTACTAGATTTTTTTTTTTTTTTTGTTACACTTTTGTATTGTTTATTTACATATGCATATTTAAGTCGAAATTTGTCTGAACATTTTTAATTTGTTTACTGTATTGATTTATCGAAGACTTAGTGTAAA